TTTTAATTTTTAAAAAAACTTGTTAAAAATATATTCCAAAGTATGTGAAAAATATTAAACATGTGGTCAAATTATCTACAAAGTATCAAAAAAAACAATTATCCAGAAAGTGACAGTATTGGTACTTCCTAGCACGATACTTTTTGGTGCGTGCAACATAATTACATCAAGAATGTAACATATATATATATATATATATAAAAATTAACACTTGTACAACATATTAAATTTGAGGAAGCAACCAACTCTCATGCAATATATTATATCAAAATACAACCATGCAAAGAGTATATTTCATTGCTTTTTATATTTATTTATTTTATATATATCAGTGACTTTAATTTTTGAAAAAAAAACAACGAGTATATTTCAAGAATACAATAGCGATAAATAAATGAAAAGCAAAATAATGTACGAAATGTTAGTATATACTAGAGAATCTGACACAGTAAAGTAATGTACAAAATTTGGTAGAGAAGAGAAGGAGATTAGAGAGAGTGTGGCTGGAATTGGCAGGGGGTTGGGTGAAATGAGTTGTCAAACGTCAAATCTGAGGTGTTCAAATCATAAGACAGTGAGTGACGTGTTGTCAATCAATGGGATTTTGTTTCTCTAAAGGAGGTTTCGGGGATAAAACAACAGCTTCTTACTACATCCACTTTTCTACTCTCAAATACCACTATTTGTTTTTTTCCAACTGTTATTTCTCTCCATGCACGTGCTAAGTCTTATCCCACGTGGCATCACAGTGTTTAAACCCAAAATTTATCATTAATTATTATGAGGTAAAGCTTAAAAAAAATCCTCCTTAACCATATCTTTGAATTTGTAGATAATTCATCTGAATTATATTTTGCACGTAATATCCTCTAAATTATCATATTTTGTTACAAAATATGACAATATTTAGATTATATTTCATTAAATGAACGTAATATCTTTTCTTATTGAATTATATTTAATCTATTTTTTTTATTGAAAAAATTTATATAAAAAAATTCATATTAATTTAATAATATATTCTCCATTAAATTTATATAAATTTACCTTTAATTTTTTAATTAACTGTTTAAATAAAAATCTTATTAAAATAATTTAATTAATTTCTTAATTTTTCATGAATATATTACATGAAAAATAAGATTTTTTATTTTATTTTATTTAAGTAGTTTATTAATTTTTCATCAATGTAGAAGTTTGAAGCTTTACCAATATCATCTGTCATATGTGTGCTCGCACCCGTATCTGGGAACCAGGCTTGGTCCTGATTTTCTTCAATTGACATAGCTGCTAAGGCTTTGGGAATGTCATCGGACTGATATGTTTGATTAAAGCGGTGCCAACATCGGAGTGCAGAGTGATTAGGCTTGTTGCAAATCTGGCAATAAAAAGTTTAAGGTTGATATAATAAGTTTTATTATAAATAATAAAATTTAATAATAGGTTAATCATCATTTTAGAAAATGATATTTACAAATCTTTTTTTTTTTTTTTTTAATGATAAATTGATACTAATAATAAAATTAAGGTACATAGTATGACTAATATTTAGATAAGAGAAGAGATAATAAAAAATATTTAATAAGAAATGAAAATTTTAATAAAAAAGGATAAAATAATTTTTTACGATAAATTTGTCCCTAATTATAACAAATTAATAGTTCAAGAAAGTATTTTTTAGTTCAGGATAATTATTTATAAAAAGGTTAATAGTTTAATGGAGTTTATTACACTTTATCCATTATTATATGATAGGCATTACATGATCTCTGTAGTCACAACTTGTTATTTGTTATGCAAAATAAAATTGACCAGTTTATTTGGGTGACATATTATAATTATCAGGATGGTATATTTTTTAAATAAAAAAAAAAAATTGAAATTTACTTGTAGATGGCACGAGTCCCCGTATGAATGACTTACTCCCAAGACACGGCCCGACACCTTTTCTTATGCTCTAAATTCTGCTCTGCACCCCTCCACTCCTTTTCATTATTTTGCTACTGTACTATATAAGGACCAAGAAACAATTTTAGGAGGGGTAAATTTAAGTTATCTTTTACCTCCTCTCCCTAAACTTGTCTCCTTCGCATATTATAAATTTAGTTTCGTAATTATTGTGGAAAAGTTTGTATATATGCAAATAATTTAAACATATTGAGCACCATCCAATTTATGAGATAGAGCTAGAAATATTAATGATGAATTGTCTATCACTATTTGATAGAATTTAAAGTCAAATATGACCATTTTCTACTTTCAACGTTAAAAAAGTTGGTTTAAGTTTTTTCAAGATTTTAGAACATTTTAATTGAGTAATAACAATAATCCAAGTTAATGTTGTACAATTGATGTTGAGAATTGAGTTGTTTATATCTCTGTGTGTGTGTGTGTGTGTGTGTGAATAAAAGTCATTAGTAGATACTTGGATGAAATGTTATTAAATTATTTTAGGCCTTGTATCAAATTCAACAAAGTTTTTGGATTGAACAAAAAGACGAGGTTGTTAAAGATGTTAACTCCCTCCAACTCATTTGGTGTCGGTTTGGTCCATTTTTTGTTAAGATCTAGTTAAATTCCTTCTTTATTACACACAATGGATGCACCATCATCACGTTTATGAAAAAAAAGATTTCACTATTATGAGTCAAAGAAGAAACTATACAACAAGATGTCAAAACCTCTCTTACTCTTCCATAACACTCTTGAGACTACATCTTTATACTTGAGAATTACATGTACTCTCCTTTCTTCTCATAATATTCACCCTTATATCATATTAGTATTCAATTCTAAAATAACAACCCAATATGTCACAATTTCTTTCTCAAATCTTTAGCATCTTTTCCCCAATCTTTTGACTTCCAAAACTAATTAAGAACCCCAATTAAATTGAATCCGAACAACTTGAACATGTACCATCTTCATTCAACCCAGTTGAACTAATTGCAAATAACTTGAACATGTTTACTTTTGTAAGAACGCTTCTCGCTCACTGAATTTGAGTCACAAAACCCAACAATCTTCACATTTTTTAGTCACAAAACCCAATAATCTCCACATTGGCTTGAATTTGATCTATACGTGTTCCTCTATAACTCTACCTTAAACAATGATCTCTTTATAACTTCATATCAACTGAAAATCTCTTTACCTCAAACCAAACACTACGATAAAATTAAGAAATAATTTATCAATCTCCATATCTTCTCAAATTTCATCATACTCCATCTTCTATATAAATTATAATAGATTTTTTTTTTTCTTCTTTTCTAATATAGCCCAAAAGACTTTAGTCATCCAAAGAAAAAAGAGGTTATGGAAATTTAGAAGGGATAAATTTAAATTATATATATAGGGGACATATGCCCCCACTAAGCCTCACACTAGTTTGTCCTTGGCAGTGGTGGACCACACGAGGTTTAGTTGGGGCAGCTTAGTATTTTGATTTTATATGTAGAATTATTTTGTACTATTAAAAATATTTCAAGATAAACTCATTAAAGTCTCAAAAAAAAACTCAACAATATTCTAAAGAAAATCTTCTTAACTCTAAATTCATAAGAGAACTATAACCATTCTTTTGATATTATCAATTTATAATTTAATTTTTGCATTTATTATTTAAATTAAAGACTGCTCCCCCTGAAGTAAATATTTGTCTCTGTCGCCATGTTGGGTCAGTTGGATGAGGATGGTGTGCATGCGGCTCAAGATAAGTCTGATGAAAATTTTGTTGGAAAAAAACCAAAGCAAAAGCGATAGCCGTACATATAGTAGCCGTGAGTTAATAAAGAGCAGTCAAAATCGTAAATATTAATTAGTGCTGCTTAATTGGATTGGTCATAGGCTTGCTTCTATAACTTGTAGTAGAAAGTTTTGTGAGACAACTTAAGGAACAAAGAAAATTATGGGGTATTTTTACTAAGCATTAACATAAAAATAAAATTATAAAAATTGTAATTTTAATGTATTAATGATTTTATATACATATAAACAATGGTAAGATACGCTGATCTTCTTCTACTTGAGTAAAAATACAGTGTGTTCCCCATATAATACTAAAAAATATACACTCTGCTACTCTTGAGGTTTATGTATTGCAAACACTTTTTTCTTTCCATTACGGCTGGTCAACGTCAAAGTTGTTTACTCTAGCAAAATAATTGTTTAAAATTCTATTTTTTTTATTATATATAAGCTAATATAAACATTAAGGAAAATTAGTAAAATTATAAAATAAAAAATACTAATAAATTAGATATCTAGAACTTTTTAAAACTAGGAAAGATATGGGAGGAATCTCCATTTTGATAAATGTACTACACTTTTAAAATTAAATAATATTAGTGTCTAAGTTAAAATTGGCTATGTGTGTGTATATATATTTATATTAAATTCAAATAGAGTTCACAGTAACAATCATGAGGTGCACATCAGGATAGCCTTAAACACTTAATTTTTAACAAATTTAGACATTAATCAGTGTGAAAAATTGACTTGAGAGACTAATGCTGTGTTTGGTTGGAGGGAGGGATTGAGAAGGGATGGATGAGATGGTGGATAAAAATATTTTTTCGTGTTTGGTTGGAGGAAAGGGAAAAGAGAGGAAGCAAGGAGGGAAACATCCCTCCTTTCTTTGTATTTTTCTATCCGCCCAAAATTGGGAGGAAGAAGAGAGAGAAAGAAGTAACAATTAACAAAAAAAATATATATATATATTTTCCATTTCTAATCTTCCTATAAACTTGGAATAAATATAGAAATTTTATAATTTTAAATAATGAGGGTATATTGGTAAAAAAAATATAAAAACCCTTTTTCTCTTCTTTCCAACCAAACAAAAATAATATGTCACCTCATCCATCCTTTTTACTATCCATTCCATCCAACCAAACAAAATTTGAATGAGACATCTTTCCTTCCCTATGGATGCCTCATCTATCCCTTCTCCTTTCCCTTTCATCAAATTTTTTATCCCTCAAACCAAACGGAGTATAAGAAAATTTTAGAATATTCGGAGAATTATAGGTCTCTTTGAATGTTTTGATGCTGAGAAATTTTGAGATTCTGTACTCTGAATTATTGTAAAGCTTCTTTAGAATGCAGACGATGATCAATCACAACAGCACACACCAAAAAAAAAAAAAAAAAAAAGTTTAAAAGTTTTACCAAGTTAATATGCTAGCTAGGGTCTAAAAGTTCTTGTACGCTCATTATAAATATACTTATCTTCCACGGGAAGTTTACTCGTGTAATTAGAAAGTAAGTCAAGCACCAAGTCCATCGTCATCTTAACATTATTGAATTTCTAATTCCTGCATTTTAGACCCTCTCTCTTTCTCTCTCCATTTTTTCAATCAAATTTATTTATTCTCTTTTTAAAATAGCTCAGCCGCCCGCGATGGCCACCCAAATTGCCTAGATCTCTCTCTTTCTTTCTCTCTCTAAAAATATCTAACTTCGCACCACCATACATCCATCAAGAGAATCTAACAAGAAATAACAGTAGTAGTACTACATCCATCGCAGACTAGAGGAAGATCAGAGATGAAACCACCAAGCTTTTCTCTAATTATCATCCCATCCTTCCATCTCTTACCCTTCACCTCCTCCTATTAATCAACTACCCATATATATATAGATATAGATATATATATATATATATACACACACAATCACTCTCTCTCTCTCTCTCAATAATACAACAACAACATCATCGATCATGAGCCTTGAAGACTCCTTAAGATCTCTCTCTTTAGACTATCTGAACCTTCTGATCAACGGCCAAGCCTTCAGTGATGTAGCCTTCAGTGTAGAGGGTCGTCTAGTCCATGCCCACAGGTGCATCCTAGCTGCCAGGAGTCTCTTCTTCAGGAAGTTCTTCTGTGGGGCCGAAGCCCAAGGCGACCCATCTGGCCCCAGGATGGGCGCGTTGGCGGCGTCTTCCCCGAGGGCATCCAATTCTCAGGTGATACCTGTGAATTCAGTGAGCTATGAGGTGTTCTTGTTGATGTTGCAATTCTTGTACAGTGGTCAAGTCTCAATTGTGCCCCAGAAACATGAGCCAAGGCCTAATTGTGGCGAGAGAGGCTGTTGGCACACACATTGCACCTCTGCCGTTGATCTTGCTCTTGATACCCTCGCTGCCGCTAGATCTTTTGGTGTCGAACAACTTGCACTGCTCACTCAGGTTAATTCCCCATTCATGTTTTTCGTCACCACTTCTACTTATTTGTGTTTCTCTCTTTCTCTCTGGACTAGACTATTTGTATGTGATCATACGAGTTTTTGTTATTTGCCCAATTAATTACTGGGTTTGAATTTTGGGAAGTGGATGAGTTTTGTAAGGTGGGTTTTCTATTTTTTAACTGTATATATTATTTTTGTGATCATGAGTGGGTGGGTTTTGTTTTTGTCCAATAATATCCGTTTTTCTTCTTTGAAGTACAAGGGTTTGATCTCACAGATCATATCTTATCTATTACGGAGTATTACTATCTTGTTTCTGTAACGCGATTGATTTTTACTTTTCAGTTTCTTTTTGCATCGTTTGGTCCAGCTACAGCTCCCTCAACAGATCAAAATCAGATATTTTCTTATCATTTTAATGGAAGATCGTTGTTCTTCTATGTTACTGTCAGATTTGAAGTTCTTGTCTTTGATTATTTGATGTACCATTACTTGAATTGTGTTACTCGTATCTTCATGTTCCACACCAATAACTTTCTAAATTTAGATATTGATCTCTAGTCTTGTCTTCCATAGTGATTGCACCAATCTTTCCCAGACAATCTACTTTCCTCATTTGGGTTTCAGATTGCAAAACAAAAACGAACTGTCACAGCAACATCTAACCACAATTTTCAGCAACCACACCATTTATATAGTTACAAATGTTAATACCATTTCAATGTAAATTTTAATTATATATTCTGTTCAACCAATTAAGGTTCACAAATGCAAAACTTATTACACAAAGATTCACAAATTTTATTTTATTTATTGGTGTGTTGCAGAAACAATTGGCAAGCATGGTAGAGAAGGCCTCAATTGAGGATGTAATGAAGGTTCTGATAGCTTCAAGAAAGCAAGACATGCACCAACTATGGACTACTTGTTCTCATTTGGTAGCAAAGTCTGGCCTCCCACCAGAAGTCCTAGCCAAACACCTCCCCATCGACGTCGTTGCCAAAATCGAAGAGCTCCGCCTCAAAACATCACTTGCCCGTCGATCCCTCATGCCCCACCACCACCACCACCACGACGTCGGCTCTGCAGCCGACCTCGAAGACCAAAAAATCCGTCGAATGAGACGGGCACTTGACTCATCCGATGTGGAGCTTGTCAAGCTCATGGTCATGGGTGAAGGCCTAAATCTTGACGAGGCATTGGCCCTACATTACGCGGTTGAGAATTGCAGCCGGGAAGTCGTCAAGGCCTTACTTGAGCTAGGGGCGGCAGACGTCAACTACCCGGCGGGGCCAGGCGGGAAAACCCCACTTCACATTGCAGCCGAAATGGTGTCACCGGACATGGTGGCAGTCCTCCTCGACCACCACGCCGACCCAAACGTCCGGACCATAGATGGAATCACCCCTCTCGACGTGCTCCGAACCCTAACCTCAGATTTTCTCTTCAAAGGGGCTGTCCCGGGGCTAGCACACATTGAGCCTAACAAGCTTAGGCTCTGCCTTGAGCTCGTCCAATCCGCAGCTTTGGTGATTTCGCGCGAAGAAGGAAATGGAAATGTTGCATCTTCCAATACCATTTATCCTTCTATGAGTAGTGATGATAGTATTAGATGCAGCAGCAGTGGCAATGTGGCTAATAACCTTCATCTTGATTCAAGGTTGGTTTATCTTAATCTCGGAGCAGCTCAAATTGGGTGTAAGATGGATGAAGGAGATCACGATCATAACGGGAACAATAATCAGAGAGAAGCCATGAATCATCCACATCAAGGTGGCTGTGAACCCGCAATATACCACCACCACTCTCATGACTATTAAGGACTCTACATATTATAAATTATATATATATCAAAGACCTGGGCAGGAGGAGCAAAAGTTGATATATAAAAAAATCATGGAGATTATTAATATTGGGTTATATCTCTTATTTGTCATATTTTTGTTTCTCACTTTCTCTCTCGTCTCAATATATATATATAGTTCTCGATTTTTTGTAGTGGGTGTCTTTTTATTTTTGTAGGGGCTTCAAGTACTGTTAATCGTACGCAGTGTTGGAGATTGGAAATTTTGTCATGGGATGATCCAAGAAGTGAAGGAGAGGGACGCAGGTCAATCTTTTCAACCCGGCCTGTCATGTACTGCTTTTGTATTTATTTGGTATATCTAATTTCATGGTCTATTTATGACTTATGAGACCTATCTATATATATAATTCAAAATTATATATATATATATGCCTATGTCATATAAAATTATATTTACACTTTCATACACATTATAGTTGAATTTTTGTACTCGTTCATATGCATGAACTTCATATATAATGAAGTGATGTTTTGATTTTCTTATGCTAGTGGGGCTATAATACATGGTCTTCTCTAAGGCTTTGTTTGGACTTGGATTATTCTAATGAGAGGAATGAGCTGTCCCATCTCTTTTTACTTATTTCGTTTCTTCCTCTCATGGATTCGGAGAAACATGATAAGGTTTGGGTGACTAATTTATAATTTTAAAAAAGAATAAAGAAAAATCATTTGGCTATGGACAAAATGATTGGTTGTTGTCATGCATGAATGAAACATTGAGCGTAACCAAACGACAGCTTGATTTATTGATAATATCTTATTCTGGATTCTATCCGTGTAAATCCTCTTTGTTGTCCCCCCTTTCCATTTTTGGGCTCTCTTATACTTTTGTAGAAAGTTTTTTTTTGATAGGAATTAGTTGCATTATGTATCCTAGGGTTTTTTTTTAGTGTTCTTTCATTAAAACCACTGGGTAATTGTCCTGTTTGAGTTCATATAGTTTTAACTAATTTATATTTCTTCCTCTCATGTGTTACATGCATGAAAATCTGTAAACTCAGTTCTTCAAAACTCATATATCCTTGAAATATATATAGTCATAAATAAATCCTTTCTGGAGAAGTCATTTTGAAATGGAAAAGAAATCCAAAATTTCTTGTGAAACTCTTGGGGGTTGAATGTTCGATTCTTGGTGGAGGCAAAATATGTATAGAGGTACTTAAGAGTGTTGAAGTGGTTAATTAAGTGGATCACATTGTAAACTGAAGCTGTATCCTAATCAAATCAATCCTTAGAAATACATACACACACATATATATACAAGAATTAAATATTAGTTCCTAGTCTTCTAGTTCAATCTTCTGATATGTGTGATGAGTGATACTTGAAACTACTGAATGCATATGTTGGTATGTGATTCACCAATTATCATATAAATAAATTTATTATATAGTCTCATAACCAGTGTAATGTGATGATAGAAATTTAATGAAGGTGTGTAATATGTATCTCTAGGATTCTAGAAACTAATATATATTGTAGCTATCTAGCTCACCAATTACCTGCTCAAGTGGTATGGGAATAACACTACTAGGCACCAATTTAGAGATTAGAATTCGAAAGTCCTTCTGGCATTATTAACACAGTTTGGAGTAGTGGGGTTTGAGCTCATAGAAAAGGGATATAGGGATTCTTCTAATTTTTTTTGGCATTTATATATATATATATAAATAAAAAATTTATTTGTAGCTCATGATCATGTCAATCTCATTTTGCTACAACTATATATATATATATATATATATATATATAGTTGTAAGTCGACCTAGCCTTCCATTGGGCCATATCATTTCATGTTCTCCCAACACCTCTATTATTGTAAATATCTTTCCTCCTTGCTCCTAGTGGTACCTTATGTAAGTGCTATAGTTTATGTTTGTGTAGTTTTTAACTTTATACACTACACATATGCTGCAACAAAATCTGCATTTCTTATGTTATCGATTTTAATTTCATGATTCATTTATCATTATTGTTTGTGTTTTTTTATCTAATAATGCATGTTAGGCACTTAGATTACATATACTGAAGGTGGTTTGCATTATATTTGGCAGATGAAGAAGTATGTATAGAAATACTTCTTTCCAAAGATTTTAAAAAACACAAAATCACTATAATTTATGAAAAGTAGCTTGATATATATATATTAGATGTGGATATATATGTTCTTGTACATGCTGTCATCTTACCATAAAATTCTGATTGATAAATTTGTCAATATTGTAGCACATATCAGTCTTCTCTCAACACTAAATTTTTGTGGTTTTGAGGAATAATGCTCTTCACTGAGAGGATCACAGGAAAATAAAGACAGTTTGGAGGCTTCCAACTAGTTGGTGTTAGAATGTCGTGTACTTCCTTCCATTAGTCTCTGAACACTAAAACATTGATTTGCGTTTTACTGTAGATCTTTTCTACTGCAGACAGACTGGAACTAAAAAAACTACACACAATAAGAAATATATATATTAAGGCAGTTATAAGGGAAAGAACTCTAAATATGAAAATAAAAAATTAAATAAATAAACTAAATTTTTTTTGAGTTTTTTTGTAGCACTCGATATATTTCCTTATTTTTCCAGCTCCATTCCTTCATGTGTTCCCTTCTTTATTTTCTACCATAAACTATCTTGATTTATCTTCTTAATTTATCTCCTCTCTTCAATAATACTTTATATTAGTCTGACCATTATAGTTTTAATAAGTAGGACAAATATGCTGTGTTTTACCAAATATATATATCTAAAACATGTCTCTTTAATGCATAAAGAAAATTTATTACAAATTATAAGAATAATCATGTAAGAATAGAAGAAAGGATAGCTCATGAAAGAAAAATTCATGGAGGATTTTCTATATATATATGTTTTGAAATGTTAGTTCTCACTCCACATGCAACCATTATCAACCCTAGCTAGTCAATTAAATTGTTGCCTTACGGTTTCTTGTTTTCCCTAGTTAGCTAGTCACCATCAAATGCATTTTTAACTAAAGTGAAAAATAGGAGTAGATCTAAAATGATGTAGAAAAAGAAGAGGAGAATGAAGTATATGTTTGGTTCTTGTGTAAAGTTAATTTCAATTATAGCTCACAGTAGGGCTTTCCTTGTACTCATTCTTCATAAAATGCTGACATGTCGAAGTATCTGTGTAATAGGGCACATATGATAAGTGGCCAGCATGTTTGAAGTGACTCAACACTGACATTTCCTTAATCCATTGTCGGTTCTTTACGATGGATTTACCATTTTCCTACCCTTCAAATAATTTAAAACACTGAAAAAAAGAAAAAAGAATATAAATTTTAAAAATAAAGAAAAGAGAGAGAGAGAGAGTAATTTAAGAACACGTTGTGCTTTCCATTGCTTTGGGGTGAGTAAATCATGAGTATCTGTTTGTCATAAATTTGTTGGCTTTTGTTCTAATACTGCTCTTCAATATCACTTTGTTGGTTTTGCTCCTTTGATATCTTTTTGTTGGAAATAAGTGCCCTAAACACACAACACTCATATCCAAGGAAGAGAAGAGGATACCATAAGGAGGAATACTTAGAAAATTATTATTTTTCACTTTTACTAATTCATCTTATTCTTCTGCTCACCTATAAAATAGGTCAATTACATGAGTTTATATAAGATTCTAAGCATGTGTAACCTTTAAATGTCTATAACTCTCATTACTCCAACTACCATAATCATTAATAGCATAACTCCAACTAGCATAGTATTTAGGAGGCTTAATTCTCATACCTCTTAGTTTTATATATCATTTTTCATCAAAACCATTTACTACCCCACTAACATGAAATGCATACATGCATCATGTATACCAAATACTTGAAAATACTAATTACTACAAAAATTCTAAAATCAAGTTTATTTCCAATACTTCCCTTTAAACTTGATTTTTGTAACTTGAAAGTAATATTATTGATCTTGTGGGCTTGATCAAAAGTTTGTTAGTTGGTCTTGAGTTCCATCTCTTCAACTGCAACAATCTTCTTAGCCAATGCTTGAATAATGTCTTCTCATGATCAAAATTTATCTTCTTCACACAAGCACTCCATCTGTTTTCTTTCTTCTTGAGATTTCGATACTTTTTGAACTTCACATGTGCTTTTACTTTGGAATAAAAAAATAACTTCATATTCATTTATGTCAATAACAAAATTCTCCAAACCATTTTTCAAAACACAATTTGAGAAATTTTTATCATCCTGAGCTTTAATCTCATACTTCATAGGAACAACTTTCTTCAAGAGAAGTTTGTCATTCTCCACAACATGAACACAATTATCATAATATTTGATTTTTTTTTTCAATTGGGATGAATATGAAGAAATCACAAGTTAATTCATCAAGTATAATTTCTTTTAAGGTGGAATTTGTAACCATACCTGAAGATGTTAATTCACCAACTTCATCAACTTTTGTTGCTTCTTTAGTATGTTTTTCTTCTTTAATTTCTCTTTTCACGTCACTCTCCTCTACTTTTTCAATCTCTTCCTCAACACCTTTCTTTATCTCGTCCTCATTCACCATTTCAAGTTGTGCTTCAAATTCTTCAACTTGATTTGTATTATACGCCTCTTCATTCTCCACAATTTTATCTTCCAAACTTTTATGATCAGCCTTCGTAAACTTATCATCTTCAAAGCATTGTACCCAATACTCTATGGGTAGCGATTCACCTCTATGATTGGAAACGATGGTCTCGAGCATCTTCCAAACACAACTTGGAGTTTTGAACTCTCCAAAATACTCCCAAATTTTTTGATGTATTGCCTTTTGTAATACTACCAATGCTTGCGCTTCTTTCTTCACACGAATTTTGTCGGACATGTCATTCTTTGGCTCTAATCCAATAATATCTCACAAATCACATGCTTTGAGATATGAAGTCATGATGATTCTCATTCTCTTGTAATTAGAGAATATCATTTTCTCACTAAGAAAATATATTTTCTCACCTTCATTATCATCAAGGAGAAATATGTTTTTCTCAAAATGTTAAACTTTCTAGGATCAACTTCGTCAGGCCTTTAGAATCGTCTAGGATATGATCATGAAACCTGTCTCTGATACCACTTTGTTAGCTTTGCTCTTCTGATACCACTTTGTTAGCTTTGCTATTTTGATACCACTTTGCTAGAAATAAGTGGGTTAAACACACAACACTCAATATTTAGGAAGAGGAGAGGATATGGAGGAATACTTGAAAATTTATTATTTTTCATTTCTACTATTTCATCTTATTCTTCTACTCACTATAAAATAGGTCCATTACATGAGTTTATATAGGATTCTAGACATATGTAACCTTTAAATGTCTATAACACCCATTACTTCCACTAACATAACCATTAGTAGTATAACTCCCACTAACATAATATTTAGGAGGCTTAATTCCCATACCTCTTAGTTTTACATAACTAACCTTTTCCATCAAGACCATTTACTGCCCCACTAGCTAACATGAAATGCACACATGCATCATGTATACCAAATACTTGAAAATACTAATTACTACAAAAATTATAAAGTCAAGTTTATTTCCAACAAATATATATTTACATTTTCAAACACCATAAAGAGTTGTTAATATTTTTTCTCATTAATTAATTGAGAAATAATTAACATTTTCTTTTCATAATTAATATTATCATTTTATTAGCATTCAAAAAAAAAAAAAAAATGTTACTATCATTTTATTTTTCTTTCCCCTCCTAATTATCACATGCATGTGGGGTCGGTCCTTTTGTTGGGACCAGAGTTCAAAAGACTTCGCTGTAGCTGAATTAATCTTATCTTTCTGGTGAACAGAGAGGTTATATTATATGTCAGAAATATCAGATGATCAAGTTCTTGCTTCTACAATAACAGTTTGTCTTTAACTAATTTTCATACTCTGAAACGCGCGTTCTTGTTATTTGCTTAGTTTTTTTTTTCGTGTTTTTTTTTTTTTTTTTTTTTTTTTTTTGGGTAAAGGGCTCATTTGCACATTGCGTAATGTTTTTATTTTATTTTATTTTTATTTTTTTTGAATGGTAAGATTAATTGTATAAAAACTGTAGAAACCCATAAATGGGATATATGGCCTTCGGCCCAAAGAGCCTTGTAGAGACAAAGCCCATACAAGCAGCCCAAGCAAATATGTTTTTATTGATACTTTATACTGTATATAACGACAATTCTTCCTGAAATTAATATTAAGACAAATATAATAATAACGATATAATAAGAATAAGGGCATTAAAAAAAATTATTTTAAACTGTTTTATTTATTAAAAAAATAAATACCAAATTTTTTGTTAAAATTGACAATCAGGAGGCAATTTATTATAAAATTTTAAAATATAAGAAATTGCATGCCCTTTATAAAAAGTGGGGGGTGTTTCTTGTACATTTATTATATAATAGAGTTTTTTTTTTTGCACTAATCCACATTTTATATATGTATGTATATATATATAAAATATGAATTTAGCAATAGATTAAAAAACTTGGGGTAAAATGCTTGACAATATTTGTCTGATGAACAATTATTTTATTATATTTTTAATATAATGCTTTTGCATAACCTGATACCCTATTAATTTTTAGCTATATTGAACCATACTTAATATGGACTTTTAACTAATAATAGTTAAGTGGATCACCGAGTCAGCTAATAATGATTTAAGAAGGATGATTAATGTTTGAAAGCATCAAATGGATGCTTTGAATTTGAACTTGGATGAAATTTAATACAAATTTTAAATTAATTTTTTTCTAATTTTAAATTCAAGCCACCGATTCGATGTTCCAAACATAACAATACGATATGAGATTAACGAAGCGAGTATATATAGATGTGGCAACTTTACCGACTTATATAAGCTTTAAAACTGGTGAATGTAACCTTAAAAATTATCCCATACTGATAAAATATAAAAAGTCTAAACAATATTTATATGGTAGGATTAGAAGAGAAAGCCACAACGGTCTGGTTGATGAACGGAAGCTGTGTGACTAGAGCGTAATTAGTGGCCATGTTGAAGTCCTGTGACTTCCTGGGTATTGCTCTGTGGTCATTTGACATCCATGGTTCTGGTTCGCTGTGAAATCTGATGGTCAACACGGCACGTCTGACAGACTACCTATTTTTTTAGTTTTTTATTTTTTTACTAGAAAAATGCTATATAGCCCACCATTCCAATCAAAATTTTGGGCCGGGGTGCAGGGCCTACCCAATTGGTGAATGGTGGGCCCAATGCATCCCATGGTTGGGATACATTCAAGAGGCTGGTATTCTAACACCAAATTAAGTAATTTTGGAGTTCACCCCGAACTCGAACCTTAAGTATTCTCTATGAAAATGTGAATTTATACCAGCTAAACTACTGCACATTTGGTAGTGCCTCCTTAATTTTCCAACATTGTTTCCTCGAGCTGTTCTTTTGATTAAATAGGTAATTTGGTTATCAAAATGATTTGATATTCGATATTTATATTTACTTGAAAAATGATATATCCTCATAAATTGGACATATCCAACTCTAAGATGACGTTTATCATGATGTAAGCTATCATCTTTCACATCTATATTAACAAGTTTGCAGAGCTTTGCAAATTTAGAAGATAATTTTGAAAGAATTTTCCACGTCACTATCAATAATGCGAAGCACTTTAATTGTTAACCTAGTGCGTAGTATGAACATGTAAAGAATCAATTGAAAAAGTAGTCAAAATTGTGTTTGTTCCGTGTGTATCTTTCACATTTATAAAAAGAAAAACTAAAGCATATATTCTTGGAACAAAGTAGAAAGATAATATAAATAACTTTCCAGCCGACTATTCTCTCAATCTTTGCACTAATTCCTCCATGCTTTTTATTCTCTCCTCCTCCTCAAGAAAAGAATCCAACTTGGAAGCCTAAAAGATTGAAACTTTACTAGTAAAATTTTTATTTTATTTTATTTTTTTTAAAAAAAAGATCATTTTCACTTTTGATAGGGCTTTTGCTTGTTTTCTAGTCATAAGACGTGCCAAACCCTTGTTTGACACTCACTCTTTAGATGCTTCTTTATCTTTTTATCACAGTAGCATTTCTTTCTGGAGTAATCTAGGGGGTGGTGCTAACCCGATCCTGACCCGCCCAGTTTCCAACGGGTTTGGGTCATGAGGAATGCATTTGGGTCAAGCCAAACTTATTTACAGCAAGCTGAATATGTCAACGAGTGGGTATGGATCTTGAGGAATGCCAATCACAAACCCGCCAGATTTTGAAAGAGTTACCGGGTTAGTTAACCCAACCCGACTTGAACCTGTTCAATAGCACCCCCTAGAAAAAGGCCGACTTTATCCGTTGGTGCCGACCTATCAACAAATGAAGCTTCCTTTAGAGTTATAGACTTTAATACCACCGTATGCATGGGAGGTGTATATATATATATATATATATATATATATGTAGTAGTGTGTATATATACAATTACAGAGATCCAATTACAGTATCATTCTCATATAGTTCCGATAGATACAATTCATACATAACTGTTCCAAAATGCCCAAGCCAGAGAAACAAGAGAACCAACCACCTCCAGGTTTCTCTCTCTCTCTCTCTCACTCACACACACACTTGGAGATGCTTTTTCATTAGAATATATGTATTAACTTTCTAAATTCCTGACAAAATTTAGGGTATCCACAAGAAAATCCTCAAACTGGAAAGAAGTGCTGCCACGGAACGAAGAAGAAAGGAGACAGGGGCTTCATTGAGGGATGGTAAGTCTTCTCATACACATCTTCTTAATAAGAAAACTTTCACATAAACGCAACTTCAGAAAATAATGGTTTTCTCATAAGATCAGAACAGTGATCTTAGATTGAAACAAAACATCCTGTGCTAATCAGTTTCTTTTTTTCTTTTTTCTTTTTCTTTTTATTTTTTTTAAGAGGATTTTAATCATGTTTTTTCTTCATGTCATAACTTCTTCGTGCAGCCTTTTTGCTCTATGCTGCTGTTGGCTCTGCGAAGCTTGCTTCTAAAACAATGACATGGGATTGCCGGACATCTGCATCAGTTGATTAATGTTATTTACATGATCATACATACTTTTGACTATGTATGACTATTTTTAATGTTTATTTCATCTATGATGTACTAGAGTAAATAAATATTATGTCGATATCTTTTCTTTATTAGGAGTATTCCTCTTTATGATGTAACAGAGTAAATAAATATTATGGGTGCAGTTTCTAATTCATAACAATTCCAAGTGTTTCTTTGAGTAATTGCAATTTTCTTCAGCCAAAACTTACGTAGGTTGTCAAACCATCCATGTTTCTGTGATCTAATTCATCTTTTTGGTAGCATTACATAGATTTCAGTTTTGATCCTCCACTCACAATACATGAATACATATAAGAGGAGGAGATTGACAAGGCCTGAATGTGAGTGAGGCTCATGATTTTCTATTATCTTTCAACTTCTACATTAATGTTTCCATAGTTGAAGGCAGCAATTACCTGGGAAGACGGAATTCAATCATTGAATCCCAACATTCCTATCAATATACACTACGTACAGTTGAATTTATTATTGCCAAAGGAACATTTCTCAAAGCAAAATTAACAGGACAAGATCATTACAAAAATACATGCTAAAGAACTAACCAAAAGAGGGATGCTTTTCAAATATCATCTGATATTGGGAACAGCTTCTCCAGCTTGCTATTAGAAAGAATTCGGTTGGGATCCAATTCCTTTCGTGCTTTATTGTATGAATCCACTGGGAAGCGCTTTCTTAGCCTTGATTGCAGAGCTGCAAGTTCTTCCTTGTCCTTCGGAACCTGTGTATGAAATATGAACCATATATAAAGGGAGGACGTTCTTCCAATTTATAATCCAAAACCTAGTTTTACACAAAAGAATGGACTGGTGGAATTATTCCAGAATCAAAGTTAAGAACCTGGCTTCAAGACAGAAAGGAAAGAGTCCTTCCACTAATCTAACCAGACTGTCGCAGCAAAGTTAAATATCATTTCAGATGTGTTTCTTAACAAGAGATGAAGTTCATGTTCAGGTTCTGAATTAATATCAACCACTATGAAATCAAAAAAATTCTGCATATATACTGGAAATTCTACATTGAATTCGGTCAGAATGTGAAAAGAAAAATGGATTTAACCAAGATTCAATAGTGAATCCCAGGGCCTCCTAATTTACCTTCCAAAATGCATATTTTGAGCAAAATATTCAATATATTACGAAGATTGAGAAGGCCATTAGGTTATAGAAAATAGAAATGCATAAATTGAAGTTTACAATGAACAAAATTTAAAACAAAAATACCACCACGCAATTTTTTTTTTTTTTTTCCCCAAAAAAAAGGTTCACTACTGCAGAATTTTTCTACACATATGCAGGACCTGTGTAACATGCTTTCCGCATCATTTCATTTTCATCAATTTCTTTAAAGATGCTTCTCTTATTTCAAAATTGACAAACTGAAGTAAAGGGAGAATATGTGAGATTTCGTTAGTACCTCAATCTTAGCCCAATGTTCATAGGCAGAATACCGATCCCATAATTGTATTTGGGTCAAACGGCGGAAGTGGAAAAACTCTTCCGTTATTTGTTTCCTCTGACGGGCATCCATAGTAGGAAGATACATAATTATACCAACCTGATACACAGAATTGAAACCAGTTAAGAAACTGGCAAATATCACAAGCACTAAGCAAAATCAAACTCAATCTACTTGCCAAAACTGGAGCACATCATCAAACTAATGGTTCCTTTAGACTTGATCAATCCAGAAAAACAGTGATAAGTTAAACAGTAACAACTATAACTTCACAGTTGAAATGAAAACGTTCTAGTTTTCGGCTCAACAAGTGGCCTCCAAGGTTGGCAAGTTTTGGAAATTATTGTCCGCCAGTAAAATATGGATTGAGATAAACTGTTAAACTGTTTTCGAATTTTGATATATAACTATATTGTGTAATAAATGGATCCTAATGTCCAAATTCCAAAAACAATACTTAAACAGTTAAACTCCACAAAAGAAATCGTCAAATGTATCTTGACATTTTAAACTTCAGGTTTTGGAGTATTTTTAGTCCCTGGTTGAGACAAGTCAGAAGAAAACAAAACTAGAAAGACCATAAAGGACTGGGTCTGGCTCTGATACCTTCTGTAACGGGTGGGCGTGTGTCCATTTACCCAAAAGCTCGAACTATTAGGTAGTGCTGCATACCCACCTATTTATACCTAATCACTTTCTCATCCGATTCCGATGTGGGACAAATGACCCTTGTTACACATATCCGCTTGAAATTGATGCTTATGGTGATAAAAGACCCATGACAATGAATAAAAATTGAAAGGAGCTGTGACATAATTACCCATGAGAATATATCATCCACAGCTGAGCTTGACGCTGGACTCATGGGGCTCTTGCTGGAAGCTGTCCATCTCTGCTCTATTGGAGCAGGTGCAGGTATCCCTTCCCTCTCTATGAGCTTTGACAGCTCTTCTATAAATTCAAGGTCTTTCATGCTTGGCTTTGCTAATGTTCCAGCAGGAAAACAGGTCTCGGAAACCCACTGTTGGCCACCACAATCAAAGCCCAAAATTTCATCACTCCAGCCTACTCTATATCCCTCCAACTTCCTCCAGAACTCAGCCTCAGCTTGATTGACCTTTATGATATGGTCTTTGTTGAGAGGATCGAGGGCAATTAATTTATCTCTTAGCTCTGTAAATGAAAGCTCGCTTATGTCTGGTTCATTGCTGTCCGGAGAATCAGTTGCAGTTGCTTTGCCACTGCAAGTAACTAATTAAAGCAGTTAACAAACTGAAACAAACAGCAAAAAACATCTAAAAGAATTTTGCTGACAAATGTTGATGGTCAATTATGAGAAGAAATACACCACTAAGGGCTGTAACAGTACTTCCCCACTTTCCAAAGTAGAAGGTTAGGATTCCAACCACCATAGAGCCAAAGTGTGTGAGTTTCTTGCCAAGGTTAGGTAATATATATAGTAACAAAAACAGAGATGAATTTTGTTGAAAACAGAACTTCAAAAAGTTAGCAAATGCATAGTGTATATATATATATATATTAATTACCATACAACAATAATTGAAAACTGGAAGTAACAAAAACAGAGATGAAATTTTATGAGAACAGAACTTCAAAAAGTTAGCAAATGCACAGTTCACGGCCCAAATTATTATTTTTTCCTTTAAGTTCTTCATTATATCAAGAAGCATAAAAGAATCCGAGTCGTCCATTGACACTAGAAAATGGGAATCCAAGGCTCAAAAGCCGCTACTAAAAGCCTATGCTGTTTTTGTTTGTTAGTTTACAAACAAACAATTTCAAGTCAGGCTCAGGCTTACAGATGGATCCTCTTAATCCTACAGGTTTTCTGCCCCTGCCATTCACACTGAGCACAGAAACCTATGCTTAAGCATTCAACTAGCCCCCTGACAGAATAGGTGAAGAATCATTCTGAATCTGATCTTTTGGGGCTAATTTTTATTTTATTTTTTCCTGAGCAAGAAACTCACACACCCATTTGTCCCTCTAATGGGACTTGAACCCTACCTTCCACTTTGAAAGGTAGAGGAAATACCATTAGGCTACAACCCTTGGTTATTGGGGGGCTAATTTTTCAATATAAGTATCAAACCAAAAGGAAACACGGAAAACAAGAACGATGACTATAGATTTTGCAGTCTTTTTATATAGCCTCGAAAACTAACACTCCTTCATCCACATTTCAACAAGGTAATATTAATGGATAAAAATTATATAAATGGAAAAATGATACATTAACAGACAACCAGCTTTACCGGTACTTCTTGAGTGATTCCTGATAGAGGTCCCGAACATGCTTTATAGCTTCATCTTTACTATACTTTGGTTTGAACTTGGGTGGAACTTTCGATTTTGAAATAGGGTTGCATCTCACAACCACAACAGTATCAGTATATGGTATATAAAGGTACTTCACATGTTTGTTCTCGGATAGCAATTTCCTGCAATAAAAAATAATAATAATAAAAAAATAAAGAAAGAAAGAAAATAAAGAAAGATTTTTAATTCCGAAGTCCCAAGAGACGAAGAATCTTGCATTATAAAAGTTCACACAAAAACACATATAACCGTGCACACCCACCCTCCTACAAACATACATATGCCCAAAACGCAAATGTTTTGGCAGCAATGATAAAGCAATGGGAGGTTCTTGTATCTGAGCCTCATCCCTAATGTAAATTCTACAAGTACACACATGATGCACAAAAGAAAGAAAACGCACCACCACTAGACCTGATTTTTTTCTGAGATTCTCACGCAAAAGAAAATACACATGCATACACTCATGGCAAGAGGGGGAAAAAATAAAAGGAAGAAAACAAGAACAGACACATCTTTTGAAATTTTCTCATCACTAATCCACATGTCCTATCCAATGAAGCAGGGTAAAATTGGTTGCTAAAGATCATCAAATTGTCCTCATTTCTACTACCTGTGTCCTTTTGGCCGGAGTATTTGATTACAATATCGTGATAATGTACTTGCAAGCTGCATACCATGTGTAAAACTTACAAAGCAATTACAATTTATGATTTGGTTTCTCAAGGAAAGGAAAAGAATCAGTACTTGTGATTTTTCTTGATATCTTTGATATTTGATACAACTGTGTGTTCTACAAGCTCCTGTCTCTCAACACATTGGAGAGTGACCTCTGCAACCACTCCAAGGCCCCCAAGTCCACAGCGAGCTAGATAAAAGAGCTCTGGATCTTTCTCTTTTGAAATCTCTATTGTTCCCCTAGCAGGAGTAACCAGTTTTATGCTGATGACCTGCTCATCAATTGGAGGCAACCTCGCACCAGTACCATGTGCACCAACCTAAAGATGCATTAGTGCAAACAAGAAGCTATGAGTTTTAACACTTAAAAAGAAATAAAACATACCTCAAAATTAAATCAATACATATGGCCTCAAAAGGTAAGCATATATATATATATATATATATATATATATATAATTTAAAAAACCTTTACAAGAGACATCACCTTGGAAAGCAAGAGTGACTAATAATAACAAAATAAAAAATAAAATAGGCCCCATCCAACTTGACAGACAATTTGAAACCCACAACCTAAAATACTGAGTCAAAAGAAAACGCATTTAAATTTGACCTTACGTAAGAACAAAACAGTAAAAAAACAAAGAATTTTTTTTTTTTTTTTTTTTTTTTTTTTTTGGGGGAAATAATAATTTAGATAATACTTCATTTGCCATGATGGTGAACATGCATAAAAACTAAGCATTACCAGTGGGAAATAAATGAAACATCTTTTTTCTATTTGTTGTTAAGAAGTGTGCTTATTTGTCAACTGATTAGGAAAGTTCTGACATATATTGTTCTTGATGCAAGGTGAACCTGCAGAAAACACAAAAGCATGATGGAAACTACAAATATTCATTGGATTATAAGAAACTGGAGAATATTAGCTAGTTTTGTCCCATCAACCTAAGGTGCTTCAAGGGGTCAATTGGGTACAGCCCAACTTTATTTGCATGAAGTGCCAATCACTCAAATCTTCATCATTATGCTTGAAAGCCCAAACGTACAAACACTGATAGAATATTTAAATTCCATCTGAAGGTTCCAACTTCTAGTAGCCATCTTTTTTGCACGTCATTAACCACTAAACCACTGCCTCCACTAAGCTTCTAGGTCAAACCAACAAAACTTCATCATTAAAACTATGGCATATAAAATAGCATTATAAATCTCGAAACGTTAACAAAGTTCATATTTTACTAAACCCAGTCTTTTTATTTCCTTTTCCCTTTTTAAAGTCAGAAGGGAGGGGGACATACTTCTGGAGCCCTAAAGTGAGCAAACGTGAGTCAATGTATTCGAGAATGACAATGGCTAGAGACCATAACAAGACTGATAGCTCCAACATCCCTGGAGAGGATTAAGAGAAGAATCTGCTCTATTGAGATCCATTACCTCTAGTAAATCATAGCAGCATATATATATATTTTTTTCCTAATTGGTACTCACACACACATGCCTCCACCGAGGTTCGAACACTGGCCCGTTGGTATCATGGCAGCATATTTATTCTCGTCATGATAAGCCCTACATTAGATTGTTATTCATTTCATGATTGACTTATTGTAAGGCTTACTGGCTATAATGATTATTGTCTGATAAGAAACAGAGAAGCCAAGGGTTCAATTTAGCTAAAGCAAATCTTTTCTAATTTACAATATATGCCACCCAAAAGAAAAAATTAAGAAATACTTGTCTAGAATATAAAAAAATGCCTATCTCCAACCAAACTAAAAATAGAAAAAAGGGAAAATTAAATTTAAATGATCAATCCTAAACAAAATTGCTCTAAAGTAACCATAAAGTAAGAAAAAGATGAATAGTCACCAAATTTAAACTTAATTTCTGAGAAGTGACCATTGGAATTTATTCCCTAAAATACCCTTCTCACCTTCCTTATCCGCAAACCCCTCTCTCTCTCTCTAACCACCACCACCACCACCTCACCATTACAACCCAAACAATGCAACTGTGGAACAAATAAGGAAGCAACACAAAATCAAACCCACCTTGGAGATCCTTTCACTAGAACTCAGAACAAATGAGAAACTTTAACTAGAGAACGCATTGGCATTCTATGAACAACTAATCAGGAATAATGGTTAAGTTATAGAGGAGTAAAATTCTGTTAATAAAAAAGTCAATACAATTCTTGTTGGTCCATTTTGTGCCAGACAACCACCTTGACGAAACTTATCCAATGGAAAGACCCAGTTGCATCTTGGCCAAATGAGTAACGGCTCAGTCCAACAATATTCATTAACCAACTACTTCACAGGTCAAATATTCCAACTTCATACTTCTTTCATTCATCTTGGTGGTGTTGGTGATGGTGGTTAGAGACAGAGGGGTTTGTGGAAAGGGAAGGTGATAAGGGTATGTTAGGAAATAAATCTCAATGGTCACTTCTATGCAATTAAGTTTTAAATTTGGTGACTATTCATTTTTATTTTTATTTTTATTTTTTTAAAAAAAAAATTATGGCAACTTTAGAGTAATTTTGTTTAGGATTGGTCACTTAAATCTATTTTTTCTAGAAAAAATTACGAAATACTTGTCTATTATACTAATCTCTCGCGCTGAATGACATCTTAAATACTAATACAATTTAAGGCATATGAATCTATCTTCTACCTTTCACAAGAGTTAGAAATAGTAATGCTTATTAGAAATGCCAAAGCTAAATAGGGTGATACATGAGTGGACTTTGTTCAATAGGAGTAGTTTAGCAAATTGAAACAGACACCTATTCACTTTGCGTTAGCCTTGTAGTAGTAGAAGCAGCAAATATGCTAAACATTTGGTACACAAACGAATCATCAGTAATATATGAAACTACTAATTTTAACTACAAACATAAATAAAACCCACCAGGCAATAGAAGTCAATGTGGAAAAATTATATCAATTCACATATAACCAAGTTAAGCAAAATTCAAACAAATAAACCTGAATAATGCCACCAATCTGCTGTTCCCTAATCGATGCGAAATTCTGCAAAGTGATCCCATAATCCTTAATCTCATCAACCAGCTGCTGAACCCTAATCCCCGCCTGAACCCGAACAGTCTTCTTTTCCTTATCAACCTCCAAGACCTTATCCATCAGCGCCAAATTCACCATTCCAAACCTCGTCAACCCGATACCATTTGGTGACAGCCCCGACCCCACCGGCCGAATCTTCTGTTTCTTCTCATTGGCCTCCTTCACAACGCCCTCCAATTCCTGCAGTGTTTCGGGTTGCAAGAAAACCCTAGCTTGGACCACGTGAGTGCCACTCCAATTGGACACGGTGTGGAGGTCATCCGGCAACGGCGCATACCGGAAGAGCTGGGCTTTCTTGTGCTTGGCGTTTTCGGGGAATGGAAAGGAGTAGTACGTGGCGATGCCGCAGCCGATGAGGAGGACGGAGTAGCCGATGTATTTGCGGAGCTCGGCTTCAGATGATGAGGAGGAGGACAGTGATGAAGAAGAAGATGAGCAAAATCGGCGGTTGAAGTTAGGGTTTTGGGTGGTGGAGGTTCGGGTTTGGAGGGGATGGGAATGCGGGTTGGTGGGGTTTTGGTGATGGTGGTGATTGAGGAGGGTTTGGCGGAGAGATCGCCTGAGATTCAGTGCTCTTAACATTTGTGTATTTTAGTGTGAGTGACTACTGTTCAGAGAGAGAGAGGGGGGGAGAGCGAGCGTGTATTGGATCACACTACTCGGGTCTGGTGATGGTGGTGATTGAGGAGGGTTTGGCGGAGAGATCGCCTGAGATTCAGTAGTGTTAACATTAGTGTGAGTGACTACTGTTCAAAGAGAGAGGGAGAGCGAGCGTGTATTGGAGGATCACACTACTTGGGTGTTGCCAATTTGCAAAGTGCTTGTGGTTTAACTCATTTACGCTCGAAGTGTGTGTGCCATGGGCAGACTTGTCACAACACCAGTGACCCACTGGAGATAAGTGAGCGCGAAAATTCTCTAATTATTTTATGGTGTAATATCTTATAAATGGTTGATTCATTTTTGTTACTAATTACTGTAGTGCTATGTAATAAGGCTTAATTGCATTCAATTCAATAATTTTGCACTAGTGACCACTAATATTTGTTTGGATTTAACTGCCTTAAAAAAAAAAAATTGAATGCATGCAATTGTATGTCACTTGAATTTAAATTGTTGGTTGTTGTTGCATACGATTCATAAACATTTAAAAAAAATCGTCTAAATTCTATGTGCGACAAAATCTCACTACCGCGTGAAAATATTTGACAAAGCCGATTACCATCTGTTAATTTGTTCATTAGAACTAATCCATGTGCGCGGAGAAGCTAACAATCCAGCCTCCTGATCCAACTGCATGGTTATTGCAAGCTCGGTGACAATGATCTTCATCCCTTTAGTGCAATGATAATTACGTACTATATATATACAACAAAAATTATTGATGCACATTTGAACGGTGGTGTTTTGTATTCAAGACACTGACAGATGCAAGTGACATGAAGGACACACTAATAAGCGATATCTGGAAATGAAGAAAGTTCCTCAAGTTCAGTGAAGCAGCCATTGTCATGTCAGCCAACGCCTACAAAATTAATTCATGTCACCTTTTTGTTTTCTTTCACTTTTTAGCCACAAAACAAAACATTCTGGTTTCGTCGATGTTGCCTATAATTTCAGTATCTTGCCTCTCTCTCGTACCCTTGCTGGTGGTCTTTCTTTTCATTTCCATTTTTTAACTTTATGCTCGCTACTTTACCTTCATCTTCAGAGTAACAACATTAGGGGCATTCCTTTTACTGATAATTAATTCCCTTGGGGTCAGCTACTCAAAAAATTTTCAATAATTGTTCAGCACATATGGATTGGAAGACGAAACGTGAACAATAACAAATCAGAAAACATTTTAAGAGGTTCACACCACCATCATCGAAAGAAAAAAATGGTAGCCAAAAGTTCCATGCTTTTAACATTTCTAGCAGTAGCTGTTACTCTTCAATTTCCTTATTCAGCCCATGTTTGTGTTCCCCCCTTCATCACTTGGTGTAAATTATTTGTCATGCCCCGGAACCCCATAATACCAGTCCATAGGTTATCTACAAATTATGTGAAATAGATCCTCAATTAAAGTATTAATAGGGTAAAGTTCAAAAAATTCACTTGAATTTGTAAATAACCCTTTTGTACATGATACCTTTTGTTCCAAAATACCCTAATGCTTATATTATATTTCATTAAATTATAATGTCCTTTCTTATTGAATTACACTTAATTTATTTTTCTTATTGAAAAAAATTATGAAAAAAATTCCATACTAATTTGATGACATATTTTCCATTAAATTTACATAAATTTAAGTTTAATTTTTTTAATTAATTATTTACTATGTAGCATGGACATGGGCACAGATACAACACAACACGGATACGCCAAATTTTTAAAAAGTAGGACACGAGTATGTCTTGGATATAGCTATATATAAATATGAATTTTTATTTATATACATGTATTAGTAATAATATTATAAAACTTAATTCATTTCTAATTTTTATACTAAAAGTTTTAATAACTTTCATATCATATATATAGTTATTTTACTACTTTGTCATGATAGTGTTTTTATTTTTTATTTTTTTTATCATATTTTTATTTTAAATGAACAAATATCATTTAATACTTCGTTTTTGATCATATGTCAATTTTTCTTCAAGAAAAAAGTTGAACACTTTATACTGTATTAATAATATTTTCAAAATTACCGGTTAAAATTGTGTTAGAAATATTTCAAACCTAAATGTCCAAGAAGTGTTCGAAAGTATCGGAAAAGTATCAGACACATGTCCGAGGAGTGTTCGACATTAACACAATACGGGTACGACTCCTTCCTAGAAGTGTCCATACTTCGTAAATTGTTTAACTAAAAATCTTTAGAATAATTTATTTTTTTTTAAAAAAAAATTAGTATTTAATTTTTCATGAACAAATTACATGAAAAACAAGGTATTTTTTATTTAAATAATTTATTAATTTTTCATCAATATATTATATGAAAAAGAATATATTTTTTTACGGTAAAAAATGTTATATTGGTTATAATAAGTTTTATTATAAATAATAAAATTTTAATAATAAGTTAAGTCATTTTATAGAATGATAGTTATAAATCTATTTAACTAATTTTTTCATTGTTATGATAAATTGTTGCTTATAACAAAATTAATGTAAATAGTATAATTAATATTTAGATAAGAGAAAATATAATAAAAAATATAATATAATAAGAAATGAAAATTTCAATGAAAAAGGATAAAATAGTCTTTTACGATAAGTTTATCCTTAATTGCAACTAATCAATAGTTTATGAGACTGTTTTTAATTCAAGAGAGTTATTTGAAAAGGGCAATTATGAAACTAAAAATTATAAAAATAAACCTTGTATGGAGTGAGAGTTACTTTATAATTTTAATTTAAGAAAGAGAGAAAGTGAAGTACCTTAAAATTATAGTGGAGATTGAATATCATCTCCCATTATCATTGGTAAAGGTGCACAAGGATCAGATTGAATTGGTTCCTTTTTTTTGGTTCGTACGTTTATCCAACTCAACCAGCTCGCTCAATCCAAATGGGTTGGATCAGTTTGGTGGTTTGAACTTTTACCACAACAAATAAATTCTGTATAAATAATAATAATGATAATAATACTAAAAAAAAAAAAATATGCCACCAGTTACTACCACAGCTTTTAGCCACTTCCACAAGAATACAGCCAAAACAAAATTCTACAACACTACTATAAAAACACTTCCACTTCCGTAGGCTTAATATTTACTTCATGTATGATGTAAACCTATAGTAATTGAATCAACTTTATTCCCCCGGTCATTCTAACTATTACTATTACTATTACCAACACTTCCATTATGTGTGTCCTTTATCATATCAACATATCCTTGTTTTCTAAAGCCCTTCGTATTAGAGTTGTAGGTATCCTATATTAGACTTTCTCTATATTAATAAAAAAGACATATGAATATTTTTCTTTTCTTCTCAATATATGTAATATGCTAAATAGGAGGACAACGCAGGATGTTAACTTGAAACCTTATTTAAGCAATCAACAATTCAAGTCAATGTTTTAGCTCTACAAATTATAGACATAGAATATAAATGACAATGAAAAAAGTACAGAACACACTTCCCAGGAGATAAAAAGGTTATTAATCATGGGCATTCACTACAATGAATACATTGTAACCTACACTCGAGTTTTAGGTTCAAAGCAAGAAGGATTTAAGTTTTCAAATATAGTACACAATATCACCAATTCTCTGTACAAGGCCCATGTCTATTGTAACAGCAACATTAAGACAGAAACTGTCTACTTGTCCATCTCTCTTCATACCTCCCATATGAGTAGGCTGAGGAAGGAATCTCAGTAAGGTGGAGAGGATCTGGTTCAATCCCATAATCTGTCAATGGTCTATGCTCTAGAACATCATCATGATTTTGCACAAATTCGGGGATATCAACCTCTCCTTTCTTTATATCTTCCCACAGGTATTGCAGGCGGCTAACGTACTTGATTTTCCAATATAAGCTACAATGATAAGGAAAAAATGAAGTGTTAGTGGTGGCACCCTTTATGTAATTGTGAAATTTTTAACTAGTTATGACTTGCTCAAAATGGTTGCTCACAAAAAGTAGTTCAAACAAATCTAAATAGGAATAACATAAAGTGACACTGGCGGAAATTCAACACTGACTTAAGTAGAGTGAACAAGGGTAAAGAAGGAATAAGGGCAGTGTTGAGGGATAGGGAGAAGGGTAGAGAAAGGGATGCAAACTAGTAAAGTAGCCACAACAGTTCTTTGGATTTATCAATCTTTCTGCATTTGGGGAATAATTCAACAAAATTTACTATAGATGTGGATAACTTTAAGTCCTTAAATTTTACACAAGAATACATGTCCATGGTCTTAACGTGTGTTTGAAATTGACTTCAAGGAAGAATGGCATCTGACATATTCTAGAATGATTACAACAAATGGCTCATGGGACACATATCCTTGTGTTACTTCTTTTGCAATTCCTCAAACAGTTAATCACAAGTCGATGCATATTACATTGTGACTGCTAGTATTTTTTACGAACCCTAAGAGTGACTGTCAAAAATGCAGTGCCTGCTGCAAAAACCATAAAACAAAGTATTTCCTTTATTTTTTATAAGCCACAAAACAAAGTATTTCCATGGGATAATCCTTTTATTTGCAGGGATATTTTTGAAGGGTAGGGAGAAGCCTATGATAAGGCCTCATCCCAGGAACCCTCGCAACCTGATATCATGCAAATAGAAAATTTGATACTAGTTGCCTCAACTTAATCCTGCCAAACAAAAAACAAAGGAAAATTTCAAGGGAAATTCAGAAGTTATTAAAAAAGGAAGCTAATTTCTAACTACTTTATGCAGTAGCATTACCACATTCAAGACTTGTAATATATGCACAATATGTCATAAAACAACTCACCCTCCGCTTAAAAAGAATCGGCCAAGAGTGGCAAAGACAAGTCTTGAGCGGAGCCCAGGATGAATGAAGTACACGATCTGAAGCCTCTCCTTATGAGCAGGGGGAAGCTCTTCATAGATCCACCTCATGATGGTCACACCAGGAGAGTTATCCTCCTTCTGCACAGTACTATGCATGTAAATAATGCAGAACGGCCCTTCTGGCATCTCAGTGAATATTTTGTGAAAGATATACTTCTTCAACCGTTCCCCACTTATAACCACAGCTGGGTATCATGGATTACAAAAGTTCATCATGAGGCAGCAACCAACCCAAAAGAAGGAACTTATTGTAAAACTAATCAAGCTAGACAAGGAACCCAAGTAAAAAATATAGAAATTAGAAACTCAAAGAAAAGTATATAATCCAAACCTCATTGCTACTACACTAAAGTCAATTTAAACTATACAAAATAAAAAATATTCCATCTTTTCATAACATGCAGTGTCTCAAACACTGCTGAATTTGCCCCAGGGGTAACTGGGATAACAAAAAGTGAAAAATTCGTAAAGGACCTACTTATTGCTACATGCGCAGAAAGGTTTTCACTAAAACTCATTATCTTGTCTCGATCCGATCCGATTCTCATCCCTTTTTTGTTTGAAGGAGATGCAAAAATGTTGATGTTTCATCAAAATGCTAAGCTAGGGAGAGCAAAATAATGTCTTGAAAATATCCATCAGGATATTCTGCAAGAAATGACACTAATTCTTGAGTAGTACAGATTGTACAATGTTGAGAAGTTCCTACAAGAAATGGTGCCAATTTTGACCACATGATTAAACAAATCTGTTGAAGTTCTTAACGACTTAAAGCCATAAAAAATAGCCCTCTTTCCTTTTGACACCTACTGGACTTAGATTTCACCTCATCAAATCTTCCAAACAATTACTAACAAGCCTTATGAAAACTAGACAATCATTCAGAAACAACTCTTAACGAAATAAACCCATTTTTCTACATAATTTTCCAAAAACACGAAGAAACACCCAGATGATGCAAATAACACAAAACCCCCAAATTCAGACCCGAAAGCCAAAAGCCAAAGGCCAAAACCCAAAAGGGAACTTGCAAATTCATCATTTTTATCAAATAAAAAAAAATTACTAAATCCAAAACATGAACCTATACAGTACACACAGACACGACAGAGAGGGATTTTACCAGGGAAGTATTTTCCGACGATGCGGAAGATGCGATTGCCGGATTTGTCGGAGCCACGTTCGAGGCGAAAGAATTGCAAAACGTCGAGATCGGAGAAGTCTTCGTCGGAGATAAAATCCGAAGGACAGTCATGCCAGTTCTCTTCAGGGGCCTCTGTTTCTCGCTCTGATGGGGACAAGAAGGGACGAGCGTCTATGCCCAGATCGGACGCCAATACCAACACCGAGAAATCGTCCGACGATGAACTCGCCATCGTGTCTCTCTCTTGCTTCTCTCTCCCTTCGAGTGGCAACGTTAGGGCATGATCATAGGTTTTGGGTGAGATAGGATTTCTCGTTTAAGCTTGCGTACTTTATACATACATGGAAAAGCTAATATTCTTGACAATACTAAAAATAATCCCAAATATCTTGTTTAGGCAAAATCTATGATGAAATCATTTTCTGAGTTTCTTTTTAGGGATTTTGAAAAGTAAATAATAATAATAATAATAATAATAATGGTAATTCTTTATGTAATTTAAGCCATCAAGAGTAAGACTCAATTTGATTTGAAATAGTTTGTTGGTGAATATAAATTTATATAGGACTAATATAAATTTATGAATATTAATTAACGCAAGCTCTTATAACTTTATAAAAAATCAGAATAATTTTCAATACAAATCAAATCAATTGGACTTCTGTTACTAAACAAATCAAGTTTAAAATATTAATAATAACTAGTCAAATTCAAACTCAACTTTTTGAACTCATTAGGACTCAAAATCGACCCTACATGGCCAAATCAAACAAAGTCAAATTGGCACATTCATTTAGATACATTAAGTGACTTAAACACTCTTTAAAAAATTATAAATTCTTCTGGTACATTTTTTGTTATGCTTTTTACTTTATATTTTCCCCATTTACTGCATTTTGTGACTTATTATTATTTTTTTTTACTTGAATTCTTTTGCAGAGCCATTTCTACTTCAATCTTACCTTGTTCCATTGAACAACGGGCTACAATTATAATCAGATTTTTACTAAGTATAATTTACGGAAATTAAAATTTTGTTCGCCGATACTTTTTGAAAAGGAAATGTTATTCTTGGAATATGTAAAAAAAGGAAAGAGTGAGGAGACACTTATATTTTTTAACAGAAACGGAGTACTACGTATATAATAATTTTTTTATTTTTATTTTTATTTTCTCATTATTTCGGGATATACTCCGTATCATTCAGAGACACCCACAAACGCACTCGGGTTTGTCGCTGAGAGCAGTTGTCCACACACGCTTTACCTTTGTTTACCAGATTTGTCAACACCTCGTTAGCTTCTGCTTTCTGAAGCCCAAAAGATGGTTCTTTCCGAATCTTCAATTCTCTATGTATCTTCTTCATGGTAAGTCTTCAACTGTCTATTTTCTTTTAATTCAATAGTTACTTCACTTACTACTGATTTTTCTTCAACTGTCTTATCTTCTTTTAATTCAATAGTTACTTCACTTACTATTGTTAAATTCGTTGTTCCATTTCAGTTTTTGTAGTGTTTCCTTAAAGCTGCTATAGCCCTTGCAACTTTGTGGTGGAACGTTGATTTCTTCTAAAGACCCAGTTTAGATTCTGTGTGATTGCTGAAAAAAGGTTTCTTTTGCTGCTATACGTTAATAAATTCTTGAGATCCGGGTTGTATTTTTAAAAATTCTAGGGACCCAGTCGGAGTTTCCTTCAAATAATTGAAATTCATATTTGAGATTTCATGTATACCATGCTCAAGACCCACAATAAGCTTGAGTTTCTGCACCCCCTTCATGGGTTTGCAGAAAAATTGGGTAATTTGAGCTCTTCAAAGCCCCAAAACCGAGAGCTTACCTTTGTTCACAAGAGATCTCATCCGAGATTGTCTAGGAATGGTTGTGTTAAGGCCAGTAGTGGTGCCCTTCTTGAGCTTGTTCCTGAAACCAAGAAGGAAAATCTTGATTTTGAGCTTCCCATGTATGACCCCTCGAAGGGCCTTGTGGTGGACTTGGCGGTTGTGGGTGGTGGTCCCGCGGGACTTGCAGTTGCACAACAAGTTTCAGAGGCAGGGCTTTCAGTTTGCTCGATTGACCCATCTCCCAAGTTGATATGGCCCAACAATTATGGTGTTTGGGTCGATGAGTTTGAGGCCTTGGATTTGCTAGATTGTCTTGACACCACCTGGTCTGGTGCTACTGTCTTCGTTGATGAGCAGTCAACTAAAAATCTTGATAGACCTTATGGGAGGGTAAACAGGAAGCAACTGAAATCGAAAATGATGCAAAAATGCATATTAAATGGTGTTAAGTTTCATCAAGCTAAAGTATCAAAAGTTATTCACGAGGAGTCCAAATCTCTATTGATTTGCAATGATGGTGTCACTATTCAGGCTTCCGTAGTTCTTGATGCAACCGGCTTTACTAGATGTCTTGTTCAGTATGATAAGCCCTACAACCCGGGATACCAAGTGGCTTATGGAATTTTGGCCGAAGTAGAGGAACATCCATTTGATGTAGATAAGATGGTTTTCATGGATTGGAGAGATTCCCATCTTAACAACAATAGGGTACTAAAAGAGAGAAACAGCAGGATCCCCACATTTCTTTATGCAATGCCCTTTTCTTCTGAAAGGATATTTCTTGAAGAAACTTCCCTTGTAGCTCGGCCTGGAGTACCTATGAAGGATATTCAGGAAAGAATGGTGGCCCGATTAAATCACTTAGGGATAAAAGTGAAAAGCATTGAAGAGGATGAACATTGTGTGATTCCAATGGGAGGCCCCCTTCCAGTGCTCCCCCAACGAGTTGTAGGAATTGGCGGTACAGCCGGGATGGTGCACCCTTCAACTGGGTATATGGTGGCAAGGACTTTAGCTGCAGCTCCAATTGTTGCCAATGCAATAGTTCGGTACCTTGGTTCTGACGGAAGCTTTTTGGGAAATGAATTATCTGCAGAAGTTTGGAAAGATTTGTGGCCCATTGAAAGAAGACGGCAAAGGGAATTCTTTTGTTTTGGTATGGATATCCTGCTTAAGCTTGATTTACAAGGCACAATAAGGTTTTTTGATGCATTTTTTGATCTAGAACCTCATTATTGGCATGGCTTCTTATCATCTCGGCTATTTCTTCCTGAGCTTATACTTTTTGGGCTTTCTCTTTTCTCTCACGCCTCTAATACTTCCAGAATAGAGATTATGGCAAAGGGCACTCTTCCTTTGGTGAACATGATCAACAACTTAGTACAGGATAGGGAATAGGATATCTGGGATTTCTACTCATTGTACTCTGTAAGTAATTATGAATTTTCCTCTTTGTATTTACTTTTTACATAAATGTCAAACTATGTTTAGATTAATTGTTGAGCATGCATTCATTCCTTAGGTAAATGAAGTGCTTAATCATCATTGATATGGTAGCCAAGTATTTTAATGGAGTAACGGGCTTAGATGACTGGACCTCTATTTACTGTATATAGTACATGACATTGCACCTGAATCTAGATGTGTAGTTTTCTCTGTTTCTGGTACCATGAAAAGTCAATGGAATCACTACTAATTAGTTGTTATATAATTTATTGTATAACCTATTTGCTTAGCTTGCATTTAGTCCTTATGGGAATGAAGTGCAACCTGATACAAGATAGAGTTAAGTGTGACGGGAACTATATATTAGTTTTAGCCATATGTGATGATGCATCTACACTTTATGCTACATTTAGATGGATGATGGATTTGAAATGATGGAATTTGAGTTTTAAAAAAAGGGCTCGGCTATTGAGTGCATTTGAAGGTCCAATGACATGTTAGATTAGAGGTGTGGGAGATATATTCTTGTAGGATCATTGTATACTTGAATTTTAGACTTTCATGTTACACCTTCACCCTGATAGTTGGAAATCCACACATATGAGGCTCTTAAATCAGTTTATTCATCTTGTTGAAACCTAAATCTAAATATCAAGTCTAAATTTAACTTGTAGTCATTAAATAATTTAAGTTTAAATCTATTTATTTTACATCCTTCAATCCGGATGGAGCCTCAGTTTTTGTGCCGTAGCATAGCTATTATGCAATTTTAGTGTTTATGCCATAGCTTAGCTGATATGCAATTTTCTAACCATAGACAGTCAACAAAATGTTGATTGAAACACCCAACCAGGAACATCATTCATTAATTAGAAATGAATTATCTGCAGAAGTTTAGAAAGATTTGTGGCCCATAGAAAGAAGACGGCAAAGGGAATTCTTTTGTTTTGGTATGGATATTCTGATGAATCTTGATTTACAAGGCACAAGAAGGTTTTTTGATGCTTTTTTTGATCTAGAACCTCGTTATTGGCATGGCTTCTTCTCATCTTGGCTATTCCTTCCCAAGCTTATACTTTTTGGGCTTTCTCTTTTCTCTCACGCCTCTAATACTTCTAGAATAGAGATTATGGCAAAGGGCACTCTTCCTTTGGTGAACATGATCAACAACTTAGTACGGGACAGGGAATAGGATATCCGGGATTTCTACTCGTACTCTATAAGTGATTACGTCTCTTCCTCTTTGCATGTACTTTTTACATAAATATCAAACTGATGTTCAGATTACTAGTTGAGCATGAATTCATTCCTTAGGCACTGAAGTGCTTAATTATCTGTGAGATGGTAGCAAAAAATTTTAATGGATGTGTAGTTTTCTCAGTTTCTGTTACCCTGAAAAGTCAATGGAATCACTACTATAGCCTATTTCCTTAGATTGCATTTATTCCTTATGGAAATGTAGTACAACCTGATGCGAGATAAGAGTTAAAGTGTGATGGGAACTTTTATTTGTTTTAGCGATATGTGTGATAATGCATATACACTTTATGGTACATTTGGATGTATTGATGGATTTGAAATGAAGGAACTTGAGTTTTTAAAAAGGAAAAAGAAAAAAGGATTGGCTGTCGAAGTTGCATTTGGAGGTCCGATGACATGTTAGATTAGAGGCGTGGGAGATATAATTGTTTAGGATCATTTGATACTTAGATTTTTTGTCGTCAACTTTTATTTTATTTTTCTTTCAAATTACACCTTCACCTTGATATTTGGAAATCCACACATATGAGGCTCTTTAAATCAGTTTATTCATCTTGTTGAAACCTAAATGTAAATATCAAGTACAAATTTAACTTATAGTCATTAAATAGTTGAGCTTAAATCTATTCATTTTACATCCTATAATCTAGATGGAGCCTTATTGTTCATGCCATCGTGTAGCTGTTATGCCATAGCTTAGCTGATATGCAACTTCCTAATTATAGACTGTCAACAAAATGAAGATGAAACACTCAGCCAGGAACATCATATTCTGGAAGGATTATCTGGAATGATACGTATTGAGTACTTTTACTGTAACGCCTTCTAAATCCTCTGATCCCCTCTGCAAAAAGATTGTGGAGATCTTCAATTCAATATTTACTGGACAAGAGACCATAGTGCTGTTAAAAGTTTGAGGTTATGCCTAGCTAAAGATCAACTGTGGCATCTGGGTCCTTGGTGTTACTTGAAATCCTTTGTATCTAATAGCTTCTGAGGAACCACTTGCATCTTTCACTCTGAGCTCTAGAGCAACTCCCTTTTTTCCTCCCTCTCATCTACTATGAATTGAAGCCACTCCCGTATTTCAATCGCAGGGAATACTACTTTCTCATATACAATGATTCTTTTTATATCACTTTCTTCAGCTACATCAGCAGAATTTTCCCCTCCCCCCAAACCCTGCTTAAAAATTCAGAGAGATGGAAAAACTAGGAACTATCCATACCTTTCCCTTTCTTTCACTCCTTTTGTGAAAAGCATCTGAGATTAAATGTAATCATTCAAATATATGAAGAATCATATTTCATTAATTTCATCAAATGGTTCCAAAATTTTACTAGCTTTTGTGACTACTCATCTGCTCCTTCATTCTTGTTAATTAATTAGTCTGATAAAGTTTTACTAACTTTTAACTATATGGTACAAATTTCCTCTTTGGAGAATGCAGACATTCTTGTCGTTGAAAGCAACAAATTGTACCTTTGAAAGGCAGTTGTTCTGTGTGTCTCATTTCACTGCTGCGTTATCTTCAATATGTTGCTGCCCTCACCGCCCCCATCGCCACCACCAACAGTACGACTACACTCATTGCCACATACTCACCTTCTCCGCGGCTACCTAAATAGCATCAAACAAACCACATGCCCCCAAGCATGTCACCACTCTGCCACTACAGTCTTTTTTTTTTTTCGGTTAAACTGTTGCGTTTCAGATGATAATTGTTAATTAAAACATGTGCCAGTTCTCTCTCTCTCTCTCTCTCTCTCAAACAAAAACGCATAAGAAACAGATGGGGCTGCTCAAGGATTGGTGAATAAACCGAAAAATCAAAATTGAAGAAGATTTTGGAAAGCAAGAAATCGCAACTGATAAAAGTAACTCATACAGTTGGCCAACATCTTGATATGTACATTTCAAAAATTGTAATAATTTCCGATTGCCCTCTGTTTCAATAATGTTGCATCATACCTAAGAAAGGGGGCAAAAAAAAAAAAGCACCATACGGACCTATCCTAAATCACACAGAGGGGAGCGCAAAAGCAGAAAAATTTAAGTCACACATGTTGGGATCGGAAGTTAGAGTGTGCACAGAGCATGAGAGCAGGAGTGCGTGCAAAGCGTAAAAGTGACACCTAAGAGTGTGCACAGACCACGAGAGCGGGAGTGCGTGCAAAGCTTAAAAGTAACACCTATATAGAAGGATTATGTTATCTAGGACTTAACGGATTCGTTCTCACATTTCTTAAGTAAATTCCATCAAGTCACTTAGGCAAGAAGTATGCATTCACGGACAAACAGGACTTTACACAAACACTCGCATAACTATTAAAGGACACACATACTAAAAATAATTAAAATACAACACAATTCAATCTTGGTTATTTTAGACACAACAATATAAGTAAACTAAAATGAAATGACAACATGAATCTGCATGCTGTAGCATGAGATATACCTGAGAGAAGAAGTACTTGACCCCAATTATTACATAGATGAATTAACTACTCAGCTACCTCCTTGTTTGAAGCAAATTTTCCAGAGATTAATGAAATGATTTTCAGTTGGAGGAGAAGTCTCTCAGATGTGCTCCAGTATTTTAATATGTTTGCAAAGCTTGTCACAATCACTTTGACGAGACCAAACTTGGAAATAGGTTTGAACCCCAGAAAAGAAAAGAGCTAGAATCCCGCCAATGAGCGCAATCATAGTCCATGGGTTCTTCAAATGCTGGTGCTTGAATTGAGCTATATAATTCAACCTTTTGCTGTTGTAGTGATTTTGAATGGCATGCTTGACAAAGCTATAAGCACAAGGCTGCGGCACCAAGTCTGTGCCCATCTCGTTGAAGAGTTTAGCCACTTCATCGTCGCTGCCGAGGTGGTTGTGGAGTATTCCTGCTGATCGCAGCTCCTTAACATCGTCAGCATGATCAATGAGAGAATCGAGAAAGCATACATAAGAAGTCACCCATATCTCATCCGAGGCATCTGGGCACATTTCATAGGCTATTAAGTTCATGAACTTGGCATTTGTTGCATCATCAACAGTTATTGGAGGAAGGTTCAGGCGCCCAGAAAGGCCCTGATGTTCATAATGAATGTCCGTCAAGAAGGAAGTCTTTGCAGGCCTCAGGTGGATGCCCACTTCCTTCAGCTCCTTCACATTGCGGAAGGTGTACCAATTGTCTGTACATTGCTCATGACCACTTTCGTTGCCTACTATTGTTTTGTGCAGAAGCTCAAGAAGATGCGCGGGCGGTGATTCTTTAGTATTGCTACTATGCTTGGTTTTTTTACAGCGTGCAATGAAACTTCTCACCTTTTCCATCCATCCAATATTGCAGATATGCCTCGTGTTTTGTGGCACCATAATATTGTGGGCAATGAACCCTGTCACCTTTCCCATCCATTCAGTTTTGGTTAAGATAGTTGATGAGCTGATCATCAACTCCTCAAGGACAAGGAAAGGCAGCTGGTTTTCGAGCAAGAACAAGTCCTGTTGCACGAATGCAACGTGGTAAGTTTTCATTCCCATCCGGGCCATCTCTGCTTCGTCTTGGAAGTTTTTGATGTAATACAATATAAAGCAGCCATCAAGAAGCATCATCCAAGTGAACGCCGCCTCATTGCTGAAATATCCGTTTGTTGAATTAATAATCTCAACATCGTAGCAGTCCTTCACTTGTTTGACCTTCTTCAAAAGCTCTTTGTGCAACTCATCAAGCTTGTGCTTGTCGTTTGAGACAAGTGCACTAGCCATTTTAAGCTTCACATTGTACATTTGATGCTGGACCTTCTTGTCGTCCTCCTGCTCACCAAAGTGGCATGGACCAATTGAGACAACTCTCGGGGCATAAAAATTACCACCGGAATCTTTGGACTCTCGCAATATCTGAGGAACCTTTTGGATCCTCATTTGCGGCTTTTGAGCTCGAGATTGAGCACTTGTGGAAGAATTCGTACCTCCAGCACTTATTATGGAATTAAGCATCTCTTCGTGGTTACCAATCATCGACTTCCACATCTCTGTCTTCGCCACTGTGATGATGAGTCTCTCCGATCAGAGAATGTTTTAATACGGTTTAGAAATTGAGTAATTAATGTATACTTCGGATAAAAATCTCTGTACACATGAAATTAGGATGAAGCAAATTGAAGAAATGTGAATTTTAGGCTTTAGTACTGCATTGCCCATGCATCATGCTTAGTTATCATCAACGAATTATTTTAATGAACTTTATCTACATAACAAGCATAGTATATATTATATGCTCACACTTTTGTAAAGGAGGTATTTATTTTATGAACAACTTTATTCATTCATCAAGTTTGGTATTAAATATACATTGTTGAGGTATTAAATATATATACATTCTTGAAAAATTAGACTAAACAATTTGGAAAACAAAGTCTTAGTGGTTAGGATCCTTGTTTAATATGGGTGAATTGAACTATAAAAAATCTGCATGCATGCCAAAATATGACTCTAAGTCATGTTGTACTCCACCAAATTAAGAAAACCCTGTGTCATCTTTATTTCTTTCACTTTATTTTTTTAAGTAACTTATAAACATAAAACTGCCTAACATGTGAAATGCGTGGGAGAAACAATAATATATTATTTATCAACAGTTATTATTGGAGGTAGATGCCTCCATAGGATTCCCATTTTTTTAATACCTATATATTTCCTTCTACAATTAAATTTCATTTTCTTTTTTCAATCAAATTTTTATTATTTTATTTATAAGCCAATGATTTCATCTAAATTGGAAATCAATTAAAGCAGTAATTGGTATTTTATTTTAGTTGGTATTGTATTTTTATTGTTTTGTTTATATGTCAATAATTGGAAAATCCTTGAACTTTTAATAATAGTACAGATAAATAGATAGATATATTATCTTTAATAGTTAATACCTCTATATTTCCTTCTCCAAATAGATTTTCTTTTTCAATCAAAATTTTATGCGTTTATTTTCATAGTTATTTTTTGTAGTGAAAATCATAGGGTGAAGTAAAATGAGGGGTTCTACAACTTCTACAGTTCTACTCGGTTAATATTGATGTTATAATTAAGGAATTTTATTTTCCGCTGTTGTAGTTTTACTCCCATAGTAATATTGTATTATTATAATTAAAAATTTTAATATTAATATTGTAATTAATACCAATATATTTCCTTCTCCAATTAGATTTCATTTTCTTTTTCCAATGAAATTTTTATTATTTTATTAGAACCCAACTAAATTAGTAATTGATATTTTACTCTAGTTGGTATTTTATTTATAAGTTAATGATTTGAAACACTTTGTATTTTTAATAATATATAATACTAATAAAAATGCACGTGCACATAAGTAATTCAATTAAAATTTTAGAAATAAAATTAGAATAAAAATATAGTATTAAAATATGTTTATTACTGTAACCAAAGGATGTGACCTAGTGGTAAAATAAATAAATAAATCTGTTATAGTAAAATAATTAAATTAAAACATGCCTAAATTCAAACAAAATAAATGAAATTATAGTAAAATGAAATTAGAAACTACGTAAAGAATAATTTTAAATTCAAACAAATTGTTACATAAATTCCGTTTGATTCTTGAAATAGATTATTATAGTGGTTCATTGTTAAAAATAAAATAAATCAAGAACATTATTGTAATAGTACTTTATACTTTTGATAATTTCGTTTCCTTGGTCCTTTGATGTCCATGTCACAAGCATACACAATAAAAATAATTTATTGATAATTTAACAAACTTATTAAATCAAAACTTAAAAAAAAAAAAAAATATGAATAAAAATTATGATTTGTATTATTATAGTCATGGGATTAAAAACAGTGTATGAACTATGAAGGTGTAATGATAAATAAATAAATAAGTATATATATATATATATATATATGAAGAGTCACATCTATAAATTAAAAGAAACAACATTATAGCTTAGAAACAAGAAGGCACAAAATAAAAGAAACAACATTATAGCTTAAAGAAGTAGGTACTTGCGAGGCACAAAATTAAAGAAACAACATTACAAGTATGGATATATCTGAAAAAAGATCTTTTAACTGGAAAAAGTTTTGTAAAAATCAAAAGATGAAGAAAAAGGTGTTGTACGAGCCAAACGGACATTTGTTCATGAATACAAAGGCCATTATTACTTTTCTATTTTTTATTTTCAAAAGACAAAGGACACCAATTCATGCGCAAAAAAAAAATTAAAAAAAAATAAATAAATAAATAAAAGAGGCTAATTACATACCTGCGAAAATTATATATTGAGAAAGTACTTACCATGAGCTTCTTAGCTCAAAAAAATAAATAATTATATATAGAAATTCAAAATTAGATAGAAACTTTTGTAATTTTTTAGAAATTCTTTTTAATAATAGTATAGATATGAATTAGTGGCTTGTTTTATTATTTAGTAAATTATTTTACTAAACGATTACTTATTTTATTTTAATTAGTAACTTGTTTTAGTTGTTTTAATCTTGAAGAATATATTGTATTATTTGATAAATTATTTTATTATTTTATTTATAAATAATTTGAAACACCTAGACCCATTTGTATTTTTAATAATAATACCGTCCCATATTAGTTGTCCACTTTAAAAACTTTGACTCAATTTTTGTGACTTAAAGTTACTCAAGTAGATATCTTATATGGAATATAAGTATATAAAAAGAATATGACTAAAAATAATAATCAAAAATAAAAAGTAGTACTGAGTGAAAATTTTCGAATTGGACAACTAATTTGGAATGGAATGAGTAATAATAATAGATAGATATAGATAGTAGTAGTACAACAACACCCCTTCAGATTTCCTGATAAATCATAAGATAAAGTACAACAACACCCCTATTCCGATAGTAATAATTTTATCTATCTATCTATTGTACAACAACTAATTTGGAATGAAAGGAGTAATAATAATATTTTGGACAACAGCACTCCTCTAATTTTAATTTTGTTTAAATAAATCATAGGGTAAAGTACAACAACACTCCTTCAGATTTGCTAAAAGGACACACAAATGAAACTGAGCCTATTTTGGAATAAAGACACCCCAGGTAAGAAATTCTATCCAAACAAGGCCTTCAATCTTCTAAAAAGACGAAATTACCCATTGATATCAAAATCAAATTTATTACAAAATATCAGATATAATAAAAGATGCAATTGCCCTGTTCTCTCTCCCACCCTGTTCTCTCCTTCACCTTCATCTCTTGCCTCCAAACCTAATACCCATGTCGTTGCAGGCGCCGGTTCTCCAAAAATTCAAAATGCATCAACTCTGCCCCGATAAATAAAATACAGCACTCCACATATATCCAAACATACAATTAAAAATATATATTTTAAGTAATAATTATTCACGGCTTTGACCAACAAATTATTGTATTCTGAACCTAGAGTTCAAGAAAAAATTGTCCATAATTTGTTTATTCAACAACCATTAGCGATATAAATTTTGGGTGGTTTAATTTATTTGGGTGTTTTACATATTATACGGTTTGGGAAGTGGCGGATTCTGACGCCGGAGAGCATGAAAATGGTTGATAGAGGAGGTAAAGGTGGGTTGGTGGTGGATTCTGGGACAACGTTCCGATGTTGCCGGCAGCTTGGACAGCCGGAGAGGAGGGACTACAGATGGAGGTGCTCCGGAAAAGACTGCGCAATCGGCGCCGTCTTGTTGGATGATCCGGATCCCGACGGCGACTGGGCTACACGCGCGGCTGAGGAACGGCGATGCAAAGAGTCCGGCAGTGATGAGGACGGTGAAGGACGAAGGGAACTGTCTCTTCGTGGAGTCGTTATAGAGGTTGCCGATCAGAAATCTGATGTTTATGGGTTCGTTATGCTTGCACTTGAAATCGTTGCCAGAAAGAAAATTGCACACTGTGCGAAAGTGGTGGCCGTTGGCGACGGTGAAAGAAACTATTCCGACATCCTTCATTCAGTATGATCATAAGGTGCAGGGGGCAAGTGTACAGATCAGCAGCCATGACTTTGAAATGGATGGAATAGCTTGTTAATATAGGTAGGTAGTTTATCCAATTGGGATGCTTACTCGGCGGGTACAGGAGATAATAAGAAATGCTTGCCTGCTCAACCAATAAGGAGAGACGGTGCAGGCTTATACAGGGAAGACGAAAGAGGTGGGAGAAGGAAGGGTTGGTAGGCATAGAGGTTAAAAAGGTCATTTTAACATTTAAATAGATTTATATTAAAGTCAAAAGATAAAAATGTTAATTCATTACTGTTGATGTGTGCTGATAACTTTATTAAACTTGGAGGGTGTCTTTATTTCAAAATAAGTTAAGTTTTATCTGCGTGTCCTTTTGATAAACAGAGGGTGATGGGTGTACTTTACCCTGAATGCTAAATCATATTGATACATTTAATCAATAGTTTGATTAAATTGTTCCTCTATTAAAAATACATCATATTGTGAAATGACTTAAATGGACGTGATGGGACTTTAGTTTTTTTAGTGGTCTCATCTCTCTCTAACCGTTTTAAGTTCCACAGAAACTTCCACGGTCGCCGTCTGAAAAAGGAACAAAATAAAGCAAAAGAGGAGAGAGGAGGAGTCGCCGCTGGCCTCCGGACCTTCGTCGGACATCTTAGACACTGCCGAAATAATTTCCGGCGACCATGGTCGCCATTTAAGGTGACTGGAGGTCGCCGGTCCTCCATGGCCGAGAGCTTGAAGCTCTCTATTTGCTGTTACTCGAAGCTATTCAATCAACGCCGCTGATTCTAACCATCTTCTCTGAATTTGCTGGTATGGTAAGTGAAAGTACTAGCGTGAGATCAGTAGCTTATCTTCTTTATAGTTCTTCTATTAAATTGCATGATTATTGCTTTTGGTATTCTATTCTAAAATTCGTTTGAAATGTCAAATTTTAATTCTTACTCTTCTGGAAAAATAAAAAAATTCAAAAATTTGCACGGACACAAATTTTTATTATTATTTAAGTAATTTAATAATTATTAGCAATTTTATTTTGTTCTTTTCACCAGCAAATGTAGAGAAGAACTACCAATAAAATATTATTTTTTAAATATACTCAAAGCAATAATACACGTAAAATTAATTAATTTTTTTAAAAAATATTTATATATGTCTTAAAATTAGTATACACTCGTTCTGTTTGGAACCAAATCCTTCAGGATTTGGATTTAAAATTAAAAAAGGAATTGGATTGGAATTAAAATGAAATTTCATCTATGTGTTTGGAATAAACTGAAATTTTAACTAAATGAATTACCTTTAAGTACTAGGGGATGTGATTTCCATTCGTCTTTTCTTTGTTTGTATCACCGAGACACCCGAAGGGCCGGCCGTATGTACCTCGGGAGGCCAATTCTTCTTTATCAAACTCAGTGTATAGGAAACTGGGAACTGAAGAACTGAGTCCCTAATGGAAGGTTTAACCGATCCATTTCGGATCATTTGAATAATGTTTGGATGCAAAAAGGAATTGGACTGGAAATATTATTTTTTACCATTTTATCCTTATAGAGAGATGTGTGTACGTATATTTGCAGGACATATATCGGTACTTAAACCATAATTTTTATTTATAATAATTTTGGCAACTTAAACCACATATTATGAAACAATATTTTAATATACTTCTTTTACTCTCAAATTTTTTATACTATAAATATACATAAATATATACATAAAAATATACAAACAATACTATGTGTAATTACATGATATTTTGTTGCCATATATATAAATATTTTAAAAAGAGTGAAATAAGTCAATTTGATCAAATATTCTAAAACATCGTGGTCAAACATTATTTGAATTATTAATTAATCCTAATAACAAATAAAATATCTAAATGAGCTAAAGTACTTTATTTTTTCTTTGAATTAGCTTCAGAGATTGAACAAAAATAAATAAAATAAAACAAACTAAAAAAAAATCCATTCAAGATTTCATAGTCATTTTCCACGACAATGCATATGAACTGGGCATCCAAAAAATCCTTCAGCAGCTACCGGATCTGAAATAAGAAAATCACAACCAGCAAATAAAAAAGCTTTGTCAATTAAAGAAACAGACATATTTAAATATGTGATCCTTATTAAAGAAATTAGAATTAATCTATAGAATAGAAAAAGCTTACAGTTTGGCCTGGTCTTGGGTATTGGAGGAGAAAGATTGATGACAGAGGAAGAAAGACAATGGAATGACTGAGAATTCACGTACATTAAAAGAGGAGGATATTTTGGTAAAACTAAGATACTTTGAAAAAGTTGTTACTCACCTCGTCACAAATCTCATGAAATTCTGTCAATTTTCCCCGGATTTGTTACAACTGCGATATTTCCTATCAAATTCGATGAAATCCAATTCCTATAAATTCCATTCTAAAATCAAATCCCGTGGAATCCTATCGTTCCAAACAAAGCAGGGGTGACAATGATACGACATGCTAGACAAGAGGATTTAGATTTAGGCTAATCGTATTCATGTCATAATTGTGTTGACACGGATTAACCTATTAACTAAAAATAGACTAAACAATTATTACAATTTTTGGAATTTTAAAATCTTTTGAAATATATATATATATAACCTTTTTTTTTTTTTTGAAAGTTCAATATCAATTTGTAAGTATAAGTAGTATGTACAAACAAACAGGGAAGGTTAGCCAAGACTAACCAAAATAAAACCCAAACAAAGGAAACCTCACTTAAGAGGCCCAGCCCACAAGTTGTAACCAACCAACTAACAAAAGAAACCCAATGTAAGTGTGATGCAGTTACCCAATCCGGTAGAGCAGAGGAGAAATCTGTCCTCAGGGAATCCGATCAGGAGGTTCTGGCGGAAGTCGAATGATGCAAGCAGGTAGTTCCCAATCGGAGACAAGACGTGAGTCCTCAACAGTTACTGTAATGAAACCACGGAGATGGCATAATGGTAGAGACTTTCACCACACAATTTGAAGATCGGGAGTTTGAATGAGGCAAACGCACTTACAACCAGGACTTTACACAAACAAACACTACTGCTGGATCATAGACCTAACTATGACACTACAGGAAATCAAGTAAAAAAAGATACAGCACAAATCCAATCTGGTTTATTTTAGTCTTTACACACACAACAAAATAAAATTAAAGGAAATAACAACATAACCAGCTGGAAAGAAGTAGAATGAGAAATTAAAGTAAAAATGAAATGATTTTTAGTTGGCGCGCAATGTCTCATATGTGGTGATTATCTTTAATAAACTTGCAAAGACGGTCACATTCAGTGGGACGAGACCAGACTTGGAACCAGGCTTGAACCGCAGTAAGAATAAGAAGTATAAATCCGGCAATGAGGCCCATGATGGTCCACGGGTTCTTCAAATGCTGGTGCTTCAATTGAGCCAGATAATTCAACCCTTTGCTGTGGTAGTGAGCTTGAATGTCACATTTGACTTTATTATAAGCACAAGGCAGCGGCACCAAGTCGATGGCTATCTCATTGAAGAGAGTAGCCACTTCATGGTCGCTGCCAAGGTGGTTGTGGAGTATTCCCGCTGAACGCAGCTCCTTAACATCCTCGGCTTGATCAACAAGTGCATCGAGAAAGCATATATAAGAAATGACCCATATATCATCCGAGGCCTCTGGGCACATTTCGTAGGCAATTAAGTTGATGAACTTGGACTTTGTTGAATCATCCACAGTTATTGGAGGAAGCGTTAGGTGCCTATCAAGGTAGCCACGTTCATAACAAATGTCGGTCAAGAAACTAGTCTTTGAAGGCTTGAGTCGGATGCCGGCTTCTATGAGCTCCTTCACATTCCGGAAATTGTACCAATTATAAGAACATACCTCACGAATCCCAGAGCCTACCGGGCCTACCATTTTTTTGTGCAGAAGCTCAAGAAGATGCGCATAATCATTATCCTGAACCACCTGTCGCTTATTGATCTGCTTCGTGCCGTATTGTGGCACCATAATTTTGTCTTCAATGAACTTTCCCACCTTTTGCATCCAATCAGTTGTGGTTAAAATGGTTGATGGTGAGTTGATCAACTCGTCAAGGACAAGGAAAGGCAGTTGATTTTCGAGCAAGAACAAGTCCTGCTGCACGAATGGGATGTGGTAAGGTTTCAATCCCACCCGGACCCTATCATTTTCGTTTTGGGAGCAATGAATGAAATACAATATAAAGCAGCCATCAATAAGCATCATCCTTGTGAACGCCTCATCGTTAAAACTAGCAACATTTGTCTCTTCGTAGCAGTCCCTCACCTGTTTGATCATCTGGAAAAGCTCGCTGTACAAGCCATCAAGCTTCTGCTTGTCGTTTGAGACAAGCTTCCTTGTGAATATAAGCTTGAACTCGTTCATTTGATGGAGCTGCTGCAGGTTGTGGTGGTGGTAAGGACCAATAGAGACAACCCTCGGAGCATAGTATTTCTCAAACTCGGCTTTGGTTTCTCCCAGCATCTGAGGAACCTTGTGGATTAATCTTGCCGGCGGCCTTTGACGCCTTGGAGCTTGATCAGACGCAGAATTTGTAGTAGTACTATTCGCTCCTTCAGCTGCATCTATTATGGAATTAAGCCATTCTTCGTGGCTACTCATATTTGACAGCTCCACAGGAACCACCTCATCAATACCGTTGGCCATTAATGAAAGTCTAGCTATGAGATTGGGCAGCTGGCTGAAGCAGCGTACTTCAAGAAATATTGTGAATTAATTTAATTTGTATGCATGCATACTTTAGTACTACTGCTTGTATGTGTGTGTGTGTATATCAAGCATGAAGGAATTTTTTTTTCAACTTTATCTTCATAACCACCTTAGTATTATATTCACATGCACACTTTTCTACTTTGTTATTAAATATATATACATTCTCTCTCTGTCGGCAAACTGGATGTAAGCAATCATGACAGAGGAGTTAGTCAAAAAAATGTAATTATTTATAGGGAAAATTACATATAAATAGAGTCAAAGTTCCATATTTACTTAGAGGCTGAGTCAAAGTTCCATATTTCTCTAAAATGGATTGTTGAGGTGGCACATGGTTTTTTACTGTTTAGAAATTGTGGTACCTAAAATACCCTTCCACGAAGGTACTACTTTTTTTTCGAAGGTACTACTTTTTTGAACTGAAGGTACTACTTTTTGGCGTCCAGATACCATGTTTTTTAAACACCCGCGAAGGTACTACTTTTTCTCCGAAGGTACTACTTTTTTGAACTGAAGGTACTACTTTTTTACACTGAAGGTACTACTTTTTTGTTAGGGAAGGGCATTTTAGGCACCACAATTTTTTAAACAGTAAAAAACCATGTGCCACCTCAGCAATCCATTTTAGAGAAATATGAAACTTTGACTCAGTCTCTAAGTAAATATGGAACTTTGACTCCATGTATATGTAATTTTCCCTTATTTATAAGCTAGACCCACGTGAATACAAATAATTAAATGTACGTGCTGATTTATCAACTTTTGTACTAGTAAAGTATATGCATGCAATTAATTGAACTATAGTTCTTCTCTCCTTCACATTGTGCAAGGGCATGGTATATAATTTGGAAAATTTTAAGTTTTCTTCTAAATTAATTGACTTATTGAAACTGCATTTGAAAATTTAACCTAAATAATTTGAAACACCAACAGTACTAAAGAAAATCTGCCAGGATATATAGAAAGATATTACACTAAGGAGATATATACAGAGCATTAACTGAATTGAGCTATGGTTCTCTCATCACTTGAGCAAGGGAATGGTAAAAATGCTAGCTTGCCCAATTTAGAGACGACCTTAGCTCACAACAAATCTGAAATAAGATTTCTTAGTCCAATATATATTATATATACAAGTTTTGTAATGATACAAATTAAAACCCGTATTTTTTTTCGGGTAAGTAAATTAAAAACCCTGTGTTTCTTTTGCTTTTACCAATATTAAAAGAATCTAACATGTGAAATACACGGGAAAAACGGGGATATATTCTTTTATATCTTTCCCTACAAGTTATATGAACACAGCAGACAAAGAGCTTTTCTTTTCTCTAAGCAATAAAGGAAAAAATGGTATAACCCAAAGGAATTTGTGTCATGTCATTTTCTGATCTTCTTTTGTGTTCATCAGCCTAAGTTGTGGACATTACTTTAATTTTCCTTAAAATCAGAATTCACTATTGTCATTTTCTATCCATCTTAATTTGCCAAGTTTATATATGCATGGCATTATATATGTCAGGCCAAATTATTAATTTCAATTTAACCTTAATTAGTTTTTAATCCCACTCTTATTGTTGTGCCATTGAGTGCTTCTAGACCTTAACTTTCTCACATTTGTTTGGTTTTCCAAAAAAAAAAAAAAAATTAAGGTGGAAATAAATTTTAATGTTTGAACCACAAGTTGTACATTTCAAATCATCAGGACTTCCCGTTAAGCCTTAAAATAACTATTTGGATTAGTGAATCTGTGATTTCAACAGCTAGAATATATGGTTTCTTTTGTCTTTTTCTTTTTCCTTTTCCTTTGCCTTTTTATTTATTTATTTATTATTATTATTTTTTTATCCTGTGTGTTTTTTCAACCACTATACAGAAAACGACACATAAGATGAAATTAAATGAGCAATAGTCCAGTTGGTAAAAATTATTCTAATAATTATTTTTTTAGAATAAAAGACTAAATTGCTCTAATAATTATTATTGTTATTATTTTTACGTAAAAGCAAGGTGTTCTATATAATTCATGGTATTTGATAGGGAACTCTAAATCCCCCATCCGTGTTGAAGAAGTATTAAAAATGTTCTTTTTTTTTCTTCAATTTGGTTCTAATTTGATAGAGAGTCTTTGGTCAGTATCACACCAGTACCATTTCGATCACCATTCCTTCTTTTGCACCAGTGCCCTTTTGATCACCTTCTCTGCCTTTTCACTGATCGTAAAATCTTGCATCAACATTTTTTTGTTATTGGAAGAAGATCTATTGTGTAATAATTTTTTAAGTGTTTGACCAAATCATCTAGACACTTGAATTCAAGGGTGATATTAAACCGTCCAAATTAAGTCAATTATTATGACATCAAATGAAACTTAGTAATATTCTTAACCCATTGTGTTATCTAATGAGACTATAGCCAAACAAAATTTACATCATGTTTTCATAGCTTGAGTCAATTGATCTAAATAAATAAAAATGTTTATAAAATTAAAGCGACAAAATTAAGTCCTTGATGCATGGAATCCCTTTTCATTAAATTAGGCTAATATAGTTATTATATAATTTTTTTTTTTTGTTTTTTTTTTTTCACCAACAAATCATAATAAAATAAATAGAGAAGAAACACATTATAAGAGAAGAGCATCTAACAATCACGGAGACATATGCTCCACTCTAGATTACTACATTCGGCTACGAGAGTCTTTTTAATTACAAACTAAATGAAATTATATATGATTCAGTGATTCTTTTAAGAGTGGAAATGATTTCCCAATTTACAGCCAGCCCCTCGTAACAATTCTGAGGTAAGATTTCTTAGTCCAATATATATATATATAATTAAAGGAGACTAACATGTGAAATGAATGGGAGAAACAGGCCGGTATATATTATTTTCTATCTTTTTCTACAAGTTATATAAAGACGAGACAAAATGAACTTCCTTTTCTCCCACCAATGAGGAAAAAATGTACAGCCCAAACAAATTTGTGTCCAATGATATGTACTTATTTATTGGGTAAATTACACGATCGCAAATCTCATGAAGTGTTTAAGATTTCATACTTCGACCACTAAAACAGAGGGAAGTTAGATAAAATTATGAAATGTCAGTTACGTCTTTATTTATAATATATTATTATAATACAAAATATTCATTTATTCTCTCTCCTCTCTGTTCTTCCCTTTCCCTCTCTCTCCACCGTCAATTCGTCCAACCACCACCACTGTACCACCTCTCTCTCTCAACAACAAATCATATATACAGTAATACATATGCACACATAATATATATGGTTCTTGATATGAGTTACTGTTGGCTGTAATTTCAATCAATTAAATAATTTTTAAGTGAAGAGTGGAGAGAAATAAATATTTTATTGTATTGAATTCTTTGTTGTGTTGATATTTCTTAACAACAAATTCCTTACATCATATATACTATTCTCGCATAGACCTTTGAACTTTTCAAGACAATTCTCAACCACACATATGATGCATGCACTCACTTGATACATGTACATACTTGATACATGTATCCACTTGATACATGTATAATAACAGATGCATGAATGAACATATACATGAATGAATATGGCATTAATCTAATTTTAACACACTCCCCTTAATGCCATATTGTGATACCCAACAATTCTCTAAAGTATTCAAACTTATTTTTTGGAAGTGCTTTAGTAAAAATGTCCGCAACTTGATTTTCAGTCTTACAATACTTGAGTTGAATCTCTTCATTCTCCACGGCTTCTCTAATGAAGTGATGCTTGATTGCAATGTGTCTTGTGTGACTATGGAAAATAGGATTCTTTGTCATAGCAATTGCAGATTTGTTGTCACATAAAATTGGAGTAGCTTCTCTTTGCTTCTCACCAACATCTTCAAAAATTCTCCTTAGCCATATTGCTTGTGACGCTGCCATTGATGATGAAATATACTCAGCCTCGGCAGAAGATTGCGCAACCGTTTCTTGCTTTTTAAAAGTCCATGAAAATACACCCGAACCAAGAGAGAATGCATAATCGGAAGTACTTCTCATATCATCAACAAATCCAGCCCAATCACTATTACAAAAACCAAACAACTTTGCATCAACATTTTTCTCATACAAGATGCCAAAATCAAGTGTACCTTGTATATATCTCAATACCCTCTTTGCAGCCCCAACATGAATTTGAGTTGGATTGTGCATAAATCGAGATAATAAGCTTGTAGCATACATGATGTCGGGTCTTAAAGATGTCAAATATAATAGACTTCCAACCAAGCTTCTATAGAGAGATGCATCCGCTTCTTTACTTCCATCTTCTTTCATCAAGTTTTCATTCACAACCAAGGGAGTGCAAACGGATTTGCAATTCAGCATCTTGAATTTTTCAAGAAGAGTTTTTGCATACTTCTTTTGACAAATAAAAACTCTTCATTCTTTTTGATAAATTTCAATGCCCAAGAAGTAATGTAACAAACTCAAATCACTCATTTCATATTTTTTCATCATCTCTCTTTTAAAATCATTAATCATTTTTCCATTACTACCGGTAAATACCAAATCATCAACATAAAGAGAAACAATAAGAATCCCAGTTTTACCTTGTGTCTTGTAGTACAAAGTTGGCTCACTTTTGCTCATTTGAAAGCCTTTTTTGATGAAATAAGAATCAATCTCACTATACCATGCCCGGGGTGCTTGTTTTAGGCCATACAAAGCCTTCTTTAATTTGTAAACTTTCTGTTTTTCTCCTTTTGCAACAAAGCCTTGAGGTTGTTTTACATAGACATCCTCTTTCAAAACATCATTCAAGAAGGCTGATTTTACATCAAGTTGATACAAGGACCAACCATTTTGAGCCGCCAAGGCAATGAGTGCTCTAATTGTGTCAAGACGAGCCACGGGTGAAAAAGTTTCTTGAAAATCAATTCCGGGCTGTT